CGTCAAACCATTTCCTTGGTACGAGAATGTACGAGGCGACTTAGTCCATGGATCAGGTGGTCAGTGTCTCGGATGACCGCGTGTCATTGTACCCCGATTGCAGTCAATAGACTCTCTGTAGCTGAAATACTGCTGAATGCGGTTGACATACATAAAAGCCCTCAAATACTGCCAACAGTTAGTGAAACCCACAAGCACACGGGTATAAGGGGCTGACAAACCAAGGAGATTGTATGCAACAACGTCACTATAGGAGAAACGGCTAAATGGTAAAAACAAAACAACAATAAATATTGAATCATAATGATTTAATAAAGTCCAATCTTGAAAGTGTAAAGCCAAAAGTGTCCGAAAGAGCCAAAAGCACATAACATATTTCTATAGGTAATCCAAAATGGCCCAAGTATCTAAAAAGTCCAAAAACACTGAAGGTTTAGTATTTAAAAAAGTATTTATTCCGGGGTCCAAAAATAGCAAAATGGTCCTAAATGATCAAAATATCCAAAACATGAAAAAAGTCCGAAAGGTCCAAAATGTAGAGAACACTATATCATTTATTTTTTTAAGTATTCTTAAGGTCCAAGGTATTTATTAACACAAGTTCTAAGAGGTAGCAAGATGTCACTCTAAGCGTCCATCTTGACACGGAACACTCTCCTCAAGAATCCAGACACACGTGACAGGAAGACTCGAACTAGGGACTGGGTCGGGGTGTCGTCATCATCCAGGTTGATATCGACGAAGTGAGGGGCATCACGGAGGACGGAGGCAGAGAGAGGGGCGGGGGCGGGGATAGAGGTGGAAGGGACGGAGAGTTCTGACAGGGGTTCAAGGATGGTCATGTACCTCCCAGTAGGACGCTGACAGGAGGGGGAGAGAAGGACATGTAGAGAGAGACAGAAGATAGGAGTACAGGAAGAAGAGGGTAGTTGTTGGAAATGGATCAATAAAGGGATGATAAGGATGTTATAAGAACGTTAGTGATAATGATACGTGGTTAATAATGCTCATGAATATAACTTTCCAAATCCACAGTATACGTTTTGGTATCACGTGTTAGTAATTCACTAATTGATTAGAATAACAGTAAATTACTGATTCCCTAAGACACCCACTTGGCGAGGAGGGGCCCAGATGTCAAAGTTCAAAGGGAACCTGATCACGAGGTCAAGAGCTGTCAGGAAAGAAAGAATGAGAGTGTTAAATGGGAATAAATGCAACAGGATCAACTTGGACAGTATATAAACTACTTTTAGACAAATTTAAATTGGTCCTGATGATCCATTCGATCACTGTCATCCAGTCAGTTCAAAAAAGGCAAGTATATAAGCGGTAGCAAGGGTTTCCGATAGGTACATTTTCTAGGACATTGACTGATTGCCATCCAAAACGTTGTAAGGGTGTGTCTGTAGTTTGGTGATGCTATGGAAGTACATTCAATCCAAATATGCTCAAATCATGAAAATATCCCAATGGTGTGTTTGTTTGTTGTTTCAATGCCGCACTCAGCAATATTCAAGCTATATGACGGCAGTTTGCAAATAAACGAGTCTGGACCAGACAATTCAGTGATTGACATCATGAGCATCGATTCACGCAATTGGGATACGATGACATGCCACCCGATCCCGTTAAACGCCTCTTACGACAAGCATGGTTTGCTGAAGACCTTTCTTACCTGAATCTTCATGGGTTGTCCTTATGACATTTGTCGTTAGCAAAATAAGTGTTAGCAACAGAATCATTAAGATATACAGAGTTTTTTCCAGACGCATTAATATTGCGCCCTTTTCACACAGGAGAGAGAGAGAGAGAGAGAGAGAGAGAGAGTCATTACATCAACCTATATATTGTATATGAAGGAAAGGTTTTCTCAACGGTCAGTACCTGTATGCGGAAATATAATTAGTGTATGTAAACTACACTGTGTGTGGCGTATACTCATCGTTTATACTTTAAGCCAATTCGTCGGTACCCTGGTAGGAACGTTATACAAGTTTGTTAAGTATTGACGTACAATTGGCATGCATTTCATGTTACATGAATAGTTTAATTAGTCTAAATGTTCAGTGTTCGGATTGATAATGATTGCGAAATTGATTTGTTTTCCGGTATTAAGTGGTCGTAGGGTGTACATTCACAGAATAATACTTGATAGAACATATTTACACTATTAATGATTTTGTTCTAGATTATGATATTGATTGGTCATTGTCACAACGTTATGAAAGATTCATAAAAGCACAGGGTTATCTATAGGGATGAAAAGCCTTTGCAGGGATAGACACCACAGACTGGTCATATCCAACGATTCCGTAGTTGAGAATAGTGGTTTGATTAAAGCAACAAGATTTTGGAATAAAACAAACAACTAGTCCCTTTCCATTTTCACTAGTCTCGAACTAACGGAGTAGCGGTCGTGTCTATCCCCTCTTTGAAGTCACTTTCACATTAGCACCTTGAAAGCTTCAAAATATTCATGATTGATTCTAATATTAATCTTCAGTATATTTATTTAAAAAAGACAAATTGTCTTATTTGAAGTTTCTTCTTTCGATACTTGACATTGAGTGTAAAAAATGGTCTCTTTTCAGAATAAGAATAAGGAAAGTATATAGATATAGGCCTATCGGACATATTTCAGACTCAGATGTGGACATGTTATCAATGGCCTACAAAAATGCAATCTTATATAAATAGTGAATGGTTGGTGGTAGAAATCTAGGCCTACTAGAATATCTTTTCAATAGATTTAGATCTCGGCTTACTTCAAATTAAATTAAGAAATTTAAGCAGAAAACAAGGAAATGGGCCAACAAGGCTAATTCAGAAACAAAGAAATACCTTGGGTGTATGCGCTCATGGTTTTCACAAGCGGAGATGAGCACAAGACAAGGCAAAAAGCAGCAGATAAGTTGTAATATGACAGCAGTATAACCTCAACAATGGCGATGCCAGTAGTGAAAGTGTCGTCAAGGCGACGTCATAAATCTCGCGAGACTGTCATGCATCACGTGACGTTAGCAGCTTGACTGGTTCTCTCCCTGCTCTACTCGGACGTCGTATGTCAAATCAGGATCCCAGTCATGTTTCAAGCGTAATGTTGAGTTGGTGCCTCGTTCAAATATAGATTCTAATAAGTGTTTGCTCGCAGTGGATGCATATGAAACGATTTTAACAGCGTGGTACTGTACAAGAAGTGCTTATCTGAAGGAGTGACCACGAATATCTAAAATGGTTTGTTATCGCCAGAATTATGGGGCAATGGTCACAATGCATCCTTCCTCATCATAAACTCTTATATAGACCAAATAGTTTCAAAGCCTGACCTTGTTCCCCACACAGGACCTTAACTGCTCCAAATCGAACATGTGATTAATGTGCGAATATAAAAATTGCACACAATATATACATGCGGCCTGTAAATACTCGACCCTGGGCCAGACAACACAGTGATTCACCGGACCATGTAACTTATAATAATAATAACAATGAAAAAACTCGCAAAAGAAATCGTAGACGAGGCCTCGTCTGCGAGTTTTTTTTGTTATTATTAGTTCCATGGTCCTTTGAGTGATTGCATGAACAACAATCCACACCAATCCACCCTGTCCGTCTGTCCATCACACACAATCTAGCCCAGAACACCTTTACATGGCGAGAAGCAGCAGCTGTAAAAAGATATGTATCTGATGGCATCTTGTAATTATGCACTGATTTTCTGGAGACAAACAGCATGTCCATGATTGTATCAACTCTTTCTTCTATTATACTACGAAACTCTATATATACAACACTGGTTTGTTTAGTCAAGGGGGATGGCCCAGTGGTGTAAGGGCCTTTGGATGAGAATCAGTCAGTGTGGGAGATGTGGGATGAAAGCGCAAAGGGATGCAGGTCTGACATATTTGCCACTTTGGCGAAACCCATGGGTATGGGGCTGACAAACCTAGAAATATTACCTGGATAACAGGGATTAAACCCATGATTAAAGGTTACTGGTATGTCTAAGGGGCATAACTTGGACAGCAATCTGCGTGGGTCATAGAGAGAATGGCCCAAGACAATTTGGAGAAAATGACCTTCAATCAAATAAGTTAGTTGATACAATTGTTACATAGAACCTTGTCTCCTGTTTGAAATTATTAATTGCAACTTTGTTTGTTTTTCAATTAGTAATAGTAAGAATTGTCACTTTAAAAGCCAGTGAGGAGAGAGACAATGGCACATACTGGAGAAGTGAGGACAAGTGATTGTCCCCAAAATGGTCGCATGTATTAATTAAAAGGTGAGGTGAAATTGTGTTTAACATCACATTCAAGATAATTGTACTCATGTAGCAATATGCGTGTGTGGCGACTTGTACTAGTCCAGAATAATGCCAATTTTATAGTGCTAGCCCATTGAGAAACCATACAGCAGCTTAACATGAATAGCCCACATAGACACCGTATACTGACTTCGAGCTGAACAGGCCTTGTTTTAGCCCCTTATGCTGAATGCCAGGCAGGTTAACAACAAGTACCATCTTTTTACATCATTGCATTGTTTGTACCATACACCATGTTCAGTTGATTAAATTACACACTCACTTCATTGATTATTTTGAAACATTTTATTATGGAAAACAACAATTTACAAATAAATAATGATTAATTATTTACATCACTCAACATAGCTTCATACCTCACAGAAATAACAATGATTAAAGGATTCTGCAGAGATTGATGGGAATAACAATGATCTAAATAGTTCTACTATATTAGAACATACATATACACATATTTTGATTAACTCTTGTAAGTTCAGTCACTGATGGACAGAGAAGTTAGAAATGACAACTGGCAATAGTCACTGATAGAGTTTAACACAAACAAAGGTATATTTTAATGATGAAACCTTAATAAATGATTTCAGGTTATTCATGACAGTCAGTCTCCTAAGCCAACAAAAAAACATGTAAAGCCTAAATACACATAAATTCAACCCTAAACATTGCTTAGTAGTTCTGGCAGTGTTTACAGCTTGTTCAGTCTAGATTTATCCATAAGTCTAACAGACTGGTTGCAATACAAGGACTTATACTGGAAATAGTGATTACATCACAAAGCACGACTACCTGTGATTTCATGACTCATCAGCATATGAGAGGAAAGCCCAGAGTCACACAGATTGCAGCATGAGGATTTGGTGGTCAGAATCTGTGACTTGGTTGATAGCGTGCAAAACATGCCATGATTGTTGCTCATAATACCAATCCTGGATTGTCTTGAACATTTACAGAATGCCACCATATAACTGGAATTTTTGCTGAGTGCTGCATTAAATAATAACACACAAACATTGGTGAAACCCACAAGCATGGTACAGGGTGGACAACCCAAGGATCATAATCAGGGTGGATCAGGGATTTAAACCCATGATCTTCTGCAGAGCAATTTGCCCTAGCTTACACCACATGGCCACCAAAAGAGGGCATTCGACTGAGATGTCATGACGCCTGATGATTCCAAATTAGGTCCAACTCAAGACATCTGAAAGCCCAAAGTGATGCACATCTTAAGCCATTTACAATTTAGGGAGCCCCACGAGCATGGGTATGGTGCTGACAAACCTAGAAACATAATGGGAGTGAATCAGGATTCGAACCCATAATCATAGCTTTGTGACTGTGAATTGCGGTGCCTTAGATAACTGGACCACCCGCGCCTCCTCATTGAGTTCTGAAAGGGTCCAGTATTAACAATGACAATCTTTCCTAGATCTATCATACAACTATTTCATACACACACACCAATGACTGTTTAAGATGAACATTAAGTGACATCCTTTTGCTTGTATGAAGACAATGAAAACACTTCACATTTCAAAACAACTGATTATGAAATAATAGCTTGTACCTTGCATAGAACTTTGTCACAGCATAATTAATTCAAAAGGAAAAGTCCACAAATTCTTACTTGAAAAACAATTTCACAAACACAAAACATTTAAATACTATCACAAAGTAAATTATTTAAATATTTTAAATATGTAATAATGAAGCATGGTTCACTCAAAACTTTGCAGCATATAATGGCCTACTCACAAGTAATCCAAAAGTCGTCATCACCTCACATAGGTCAGTTAAAACTGATGACCCTCACACATCGGTCAGACAAACATACACTTCCCTGGTACAGTAAAATGCACCCTAATGGACTCGTCATTTGTTATAGGAGGAGGGGCCAGTGAAAATGGTCTCAGGATTTTTTCCATTTTTTGTTTTGATAATTGAATAAAAGTTATATCAACTAATGTTCAAATAGAACTCTGTCATTCATGATACTGTCCTGAACAATGTGGTTTCACTGTATAAAAAAACACAGGTAGGACAACTGTTATTGTGCTTTGTCTGTGCTTTATTGTTACTTTCCTGCATAATCAACATAAGATCTTTTACTCCAGTATTGTTACTTTCCTTAAAGATCTTTTACTCTGTTATAATACCTGTCTGAATGAAGATCTGACGACTGTCAGGTGAACTTTTTTATCAGCCACTTAAACTTGAGGCATCAGAATTCTTGGTATGATTTCAGATTTCAGATTTCTGTATCTCATGAATGAACTTTAATGTCTAAAATATATAAACTGTGATGTTAAACTGATGATATTTTATTCACCCTGCCTTAATGACAGCCATGGCATCTACCCCCAAATAAGTTGACCATTTGTGTTCTATGTGGGTTGTCGTTTGTACAAGTGGAAATGTCCAACACCTGATTGGTGAACCCACGCATCCTTCCTTTAACTTGGGCAGTCAGAGTTTTCCCTGAGGACATCTCTATGTCAGGACAGGTAAACCTTGAGCAAACACTGACTGTCCAAACTCAGAAATTTGGATAATGGCAGAAGACAAATGCCACCAAGCATTAATATACTCTTGATAGTACACCCTATTGAGTGCAGATGGCCCCAAGAAATAACTGGATGTGTAAAATATTAGCAACAATATATTAGCATGGCTTATTATTGCATTCGGAACTCAATTATATTCATTTTCAATTATACAGAATCAGTCTGCTTGTCTGGATGTTTCACTCACTGGTACCGAGATGCTGATCATCATGCAGGCTAAATAAAACTTTTGCTAAAAAAGAAATTTCCCAATTTAAGGTGGTAAATTAATGAAATCTAATCATTTAGGAAAGCCAACATCTGATTGGTTCAAGATTCCATGCATCCTTCATTTAGAATCGGCGGTCAAACATGATGTTCACTGATTCCACATTCTGTAGGGAGGTCAGACCTTCACACAAAGTGGTATCATGTCAGCACCACGGTCTTCGGGATAGATTAACAAGATTGAACAAAACACAGACAGCACTACCTTGACTAAAGACGGAGATTGTTGCCAGGTTTCACCCCATGGCTTATTTCTGTGTGGAGACACGATGATGATACACAAAGGAAACATTTACCTAAGTCTGAGTCAGTAGCATAACGACTCTTTGGCCCCGTCAATACTGTTTGTGCAAACCTAAAAACATATTCTGAAACACAAACATCATGGAGAAAGTGATGTCTAATAATTTAAAAAATCTAAAAATATCTGTACACACATCATAAACATGAAAAAGCCATTTAAGTATAACTGCAAATACAATTATGTCTGTGCTGTCAGAATTATAACTTCATCCAAATGTCTTTTCATTCCCTCAGTCATAAGTAAACAGTAGATCCGTGAAGATCCAAGTTGAGAATAGTTCTTTAGCAACCTATGCTTGCAGTAAGAGGCGACTAATGGGATCAGCTGGTCAGGCTCGCAGACTTGGTTGATGCATGTCATCGTAACCCAATTGCGTGGATCGATGATCATGATGTCAATCACAGGATTGTCCCGTCCACATTCGGTTATTTACAGACCACCATCATATACCGGTAGCTGGAATATTGCTGAGTGCGGCGTTAAACAACAAAGTAAACACTTAAATTGCTAAACTAGAAACTCAAAACAGTTTTGAACAGTTTAAGAGCCATTGTCAAATTACTATAACACCTATCTTTCACTCAAATGAAAAGAATTTACATGTATTTGTAACATAAACAGCTTCGTCACATGTTCAAAGTACACAATATTGGTTTCATTAACCACAGCAGCTCATAAATAATATGTCCGATCTCATAAGATCCATTGTCAATACTTCACACGCTTGTACACACCTTTGAAAACATGTTGGCTGGGTGGTGTAAGCATGTCACCTAAATGAGGCCATTTATAATCTATGGATGTCAAATAATCCCTACGCCATACATGGACATTCATGATGCCTACCACTGAGGCAATGTGTGGAGTAGAGGCTGCATGGCTGTGGCACTTGTTGCACACGTTTCCATGGGAGGAAGTTGAGTGTTCATTTGTCTGAGGACTACCTGGCTTCCTGTTGGCTGATCCAGGCCTTTGTTTAAACATAGCAACTACAGACTGGTCCTGTGTATCCACGAGTGAGGGTGGAACATTGTGCATATACACTTTATAGGCAACGCAGGGCTTGATTTAATTAAGGAACAGGATTTAACTTGTAGCAGATACATGCTGACATGAAAGCCGACTTGCACCAGACAAAACCAGATTGGAAAACCATAAATTTATCAAAGTTGCAACAAAAGCCGGTTTCAGCCAATGTCAGTAAATTAAGGACATATTGCTGTAAAACATTACTGAAGCATGTGCACATAATCTTTAAGTGTCAACAGATTGATGATGTCAAGCCCAACAAAGCATGGCAAATGCCGCACAACACAAGGATAAGTGGTATATTATGGTACATGAAGCTTAACAGTAATGTGTTCAATTTCAATGTTGTGAGAACTAAGAGTTTGTAATGGTGCATGTTGACAAATATTAGGTTTCATTTTTCAATAACAGGTTGCACTGGTCATGTTTATATAGCTAAATCGAGCCCTGCAAAGCATTAGACTACACTACAAAGAGGCCATATGTATTCAAGGGTGATGGAGGATGAAAGAGCATACAAAACCGTGATGTATAGACGATGTAGTAGGCCTGATACCATTCCTAATATTCGCCCATGGTATGGGTGCAAAATATGCAAAATATGCAAAATATACAAAATATACAAAATGCTAAAAATGTGTTATGCCATTATCATTGATGATATCTGCAGCCAAGTGACCATGTCATGTAATAATGCAGTGTCCAGTCCAACGTTCAGTTTGTTCTGATAGTAGTTTGTACATCTGCTAGGATCAACGACACACTTGAAACAATGTACAGAGAGACCTGATAATCTCACCACCTTCCACAATTACAACTTACAATGCTCTGTTTCTAGACACTGATGGGATGATGAGTAGGAACAAAGCTCTTTCTCCATCTGGACAATTTGAACGATGCAACACCATTCCTTAAGTAATTTGTTCTCAGAACCATTTGGTCTTTCAGGTAACCAATGAGGATTAGTCCAAGTCTATAGCTTGTGGTGATGGGATTTTGTCTGGGGAAGCTGGTTCTTCCTCCGATTCGGATATTGATTCTTCAGCAGGAGACAACAGCTGCAGTATTCTGTCCATCTTGTTGTTCAACCTAGCTTCCATGTCCAACATCTGTTGCTGTACCTGAGTCAGGATCCGTTCTTCAGCTGAATGGATTTGTTTTGACACTTCCTCCAGAACAGCTGGGTCCACGTGGTTCTGTGTTGCTGGGACGTCACTGTAATAGAATAATAAACTGTCCTGATATTGATAGAGTGAGAGGTGGGGTTGAGTGGGGTTGAATGGTGTGTCCAAGATTATTGCACTTATATAGCAATGTGCATGCACATATTGTGTGTGTGGCAACTTGAACTAGTCCAGACTAATGCCAGGATTATATCGCAAACCCACTGAGAAATTGTTTGATAGGCATTACTTAGAAGTTGACGGATGACAAGGTAGACACAATTTTATGAAGTTGTTATCCATAAAATTGTGTCTACCTAACCCACTGAGATACCATGCTGCAGTTTAACATTGATGTCCCACTCAGACACATTATACTGAACTCCTGTTAAAGCTGAGCACCAGGCAGGGTAACAACAAGTACAATCTTCTTGTTTTACATGCACTTGCTGTATGTCGACATAAATATTCGGATGCATTCTTCAATAATGGGTTGCACTTGTGCATGTTTTATATAGCTAATTCAGGCCCTGTTGTGTGAACAATTCAAGTTTTATTTGTACATTAGAGTAATAACAGGGGAAGACATTATTTTTCATTTTGACTAATCCACAAAAATGGTTTGTTAAATTGCCATCTACATAAAAAGTATGTAAAGAATGGTAGTCCACAAAGATAATCACTTGACATTCATGCTCAACAAATCATTCCAAACACCGATCTTTCAACATGATCATTTCACGTTATAAAACAACATAGAAACCTGTTGGTTGGAATTATCCCTGGGTTTGTATTTTCAGTATGCCGCAGTTTCGACACTCTCCCGCAGACTGACTGTAGAAACTTGTACATGTCATCGCTGTGTAAACTGTCTCCGTTCTGACTCATGGACATATGAGTCAACAGATTCCCAGCCAAGTCACTGGGATTGTTTGTACCGTTGTCCCCCATCGGAACAGTGGACGGATTCCTCGGCATGCTGGTGTTCATCTTGGAAAACATGGACAACAGACCAGCCATGCCCGATAATGAGGTTTCTTTGTCAGGCGGCAATGAGCTCTCAGAGATCATGCTTCGAACATTGTCTAGCGCACCCCGCTGATTCTGAAATCAACAGTGCTTATTAATATACAAGTACTTATAAACTACACTACCAAAAGAAATGTGAATGCCATACATGTTGGTTAATATATAAAGAATTACTCATGTTCAAGAGACAATGCACAAACGAACATACTAATGTTGATGTCATACATCCGTGACTCGAGATGCACCATTTTTCTCGTGCAGGATTAGCGTGTATGGCTTGGAAATCATGTGCAGTATATCGTGATAAGAATAAAGTCACTGTATGGTAACCCTTGACTGATTGTTAGTTTTGTCAATAGTTGGTACACATTGGAAACATCTCTTCTTAACGTACATACTTCTCTGTATGTTTCTATGGTCGTGTTTCTTTTGGTGGTGAGTATATATATAAATCATAGGTCCTTTGTCTATGACTGTGCATTAAATAATTGAATTGTTAGCGGTTAGTAAACACAACTTGGCAATGACAGAACATTTCTTTTATTTCGCATCATGTACCTTGATGAAAAGACAATGTTAGAAAAAAAGATGCGCAAACAGGATTCTGCAGTAAAGACTAATAAATATAGTCTTCTATCCCAACAACATGGAAGAAATTATGTGGAATTATCAATGATCAACAATGACATGTTCACTATCATCAAGACTAAGAGTGCATGGTGCACGTGTGAAATGCACAGGGAACAAATTTCATGTGCATCACGCATGGGTGACAGTGTTCTCACAGTTCAGCATAGAGTTCTAGAAAACCTTGTTAACTACAGTGATTAAAATTACATTTTGATACTGTTCCATGGTGTCCAGGAGAGACTTTGCTTTGTCTGAGACTTTATCTCCTAGTTCTTTCACATGATTCCTCAGTTTACCGATGTCCATCTGAGTGGAACTGTCAGGTGGCGCCATCTGGGTAAGCGTTATCTGCAGGCGCTTGATCAGGAATGAGGCTCTGTCTTTCAGTGACAGGAACTGCAATAACAAATCAAATGTCTTTCATTACTTTAGTTTATCTCATGTTCTTCCAGTATAATACTACATGTATAAATTTGGAAGAAATAAGTCAGGAGGCTTTCCGAATATTTGCAAAAGTAAATTCAAACTATTTGCAAATTAATTCAAACTAACATTATAAAGGTCATACACATTAGCACCCCCAGGCACTGCATATAGACTTCCTCCTTACATTATTAGAAATGTGATTACAACCCATCAGAGCCCTCATAAAATTACAGTTATCCAGCGGTAGAAACTAACAGTTTCAGTCCACTAGTCCTGATAACATATAGCAAAACCCCTAAAATGGCAAATTTGTACTAGTCCTTATGATACCTTTACTATTGGGCTGTTTGGCCAGGAGTACAGGACCAGTGCCAATTTCTAACCCTGTTATCCCCTTTTGTTTGGGTACTCGAGTCCTTGAGACCCAAGTCTGACAAATCCTGATCCGTTATCAAATACAGGTACCTGAGTACCCGTCAGAGCCCTAGTCATCAGCATACTGTCCTAGTCTATGTTCTCTGTTTTGCATTACACATTCCTTTTATGTTATCACATTTTATCATACATACCAGAATTTCCACAGCCTCTTTCATTTGTAAAGAAATTTGAAAATTGTGTGTGTGTGTGTGTGTGTGTGTGTGTGTGTGTGTGTGTGTGTGTGTGTGTGTGTGTGTGTGTGTGTGTGTGTGTGTGTGTGTGTGCGTGCGTGCGCACGTGCTTGTACGGACTAATACTGATTTTTTAGTGCTAGCCTACCATGCTGCAGTTTAACATGAATACCCCACTCAGACACAGTACACTACAAGTACCATCTTTTAACGTCTCTTGGTATGACAGGGCTGGTTATCGAACCCTCGAGACACATCATGAACTGATATAGGTTGACAATTTAATCGATTTTACCATTTCTATCCAATACATCTTTTCTGAAAATAACTTTAAGACATTATCAATTTTTTTTTCTCAAGATTTATTAATAAGTGTAATCCTGGTTTGTTTTTTCCTAGTTTCAAACACTGCAAAGTAGTAGACTTGTATTATCACTGACACATCTGCCAGTAATACATCCAGTTTGCTTGTCATTTCATGTACAAGACCTTTCAATGTTGAACTAATATAGTTTGATATACAAGATATATATGCACTAATACTTTTATATAGTGCATATAAGGGGGTAACTGGTGTCTAGTTTGTTTAGGAGGTTTCTATTCATAGTAGTTCTTGGAATACATGTAATAACACCTAATTTCTATGTACGTCTCATTCCATTTTTGTTTTGAACATTCTTAACACAGTCTGTTCCAAAAACATTTCAGTCTACTATTTGTTTGTTTGTTTGTTTGTTGTTTAACGCCGCACTCAGCAATATTCTAGCTATGACGGCGGTCTGTGAATAATCGAGTCTGGACCAGACAATCCAGTGATTGACATCATGAGCATCGATCCTCGCAATTGGAATACGGTGACATGCATCAACCAAGTCAGCGAGCCTGACCACCCGATCCTGTTAGTCGCCTCTTATGACAAGCATGGTCGCCTTTTACAGCAAGCATGGGTTGCTGAAGACCTATTCTGTCCCCGGATCTTCACAGGCCTTCAGTCTACTAGTCTGAACTTGTATTTTGGCATTTTCTTCAGAAAAAACATAAGTCTTAGCATATAAACTAGCATCAGCTGATCTTATAAGACCAGAAGATATTTTACTAGACTCTGACTTCAGACTAGTGACATATCTTACATTTCTTCATATAAAAAATCAAAGATCATTATAAAAGAATGTAAAGATTTCAATAGGGAAGCCAGGTATTTTTCCTATTTTCTTTCACAGCAAATGCAATTACTTCAGGAACTATTTCTTTTTCTAGGTTATTTTTAATTAATTACTTGATCGGTAGGATTAACCATGTTGTCATAGACAGAAGCCATTGTGGCCACTGGAGTCCTATGTTAGTTGCTTTCACTCAGCCCAGCTATTTTGACAAAAGGGATGATAAAATACTTGTAGTTTACCTTAAAGGTAAGGCAGTTTGTTGGTTCTTGTGTAGACAAATATGAGATAAAATAGTGGGTATCATCTTCAGATTTGGGAACTGACTTTCCTCGGATTGTATGCATGTATCCTTCAGTTTGTCCATAGACTTCCATGTTCCGAGATTCACTGACAATCTGGACTCCTGTTATTCCAACATGGTACACAGACTTGCATCGGATTGTCAAGTGACAGTTACTGCTCTCATCATCTGCTACTTTGAACACTTCCAGCTTACTAGGGAAAGAAAAGAATTCAAGCCTGAAACAAAGGAAATGTATCATGTCACGCTTGCTTTCACTGAAAATGCAGAAAAACATACTGAATGACAATGTATCTTTTTCATAATGCTGATGTCTGAAGATTTACACGCATTCTTCTCTTAGGTTTCATGTATACATAGGAACGTGTCAGGGTATGTGTAACTGTAAACATACACATAAACGTCTCTGTGTACTTAAGGTTATCATCAACTGCTAGATTGATATAATTGATCAAACAAGTCTTGGCTGCCACTGTCTAAGAAAAATACTCATGTCCAGAGGATGAGAAAGTGATTAAATTGTGAGGCCCTCCTCCATTTGGACATTAGCATGATAAGTGTAGTGTTGTGTACACTATTAATAGCAAGACATTGTAATTTGGGGGCTGCTTTGGATGACAGACAGAGAGACAAATTCGAACACATCAGACTTCCAAGGGGAGGGAATTATGAAAAAATTTAAAGCTGACATTTGAGTGAAACCAGAGAGTTCACCTAAATGCATGAGAGCACGACCGGTGCCATATGTTCTGAAAAATGCCTTTGAGAAAGAATTAAAGAAGGGATCCTAAAGGAAATTGACAGGTCAGATTGGGCTACGCCAATTGTTATTGTACCAAAAGCAAACAAAGAAATTAGGGTCTGTGGGGACAGCAAGGTCACTGTTAACCCAGTATATGAAGAGAACATATACCCATTACCTGTTGTAGAAAACTTGCTGAGCATGATGTCGGGGGCCAAATGCTTTACAAAGTTAGATTTGACAAATGCGTACAGGTAGGTCTACAGTTAGAGTTGACAGAAGGAAGTAAACTCCTATTCTACTCTACTAGTCATCAACACTCACAAGGGCATGTATGAGTACCTGGGATTGTCTTTTGGAATTTTGACAGCACCTGTTATGTTTCAGCAAGTGATGCATCAGATATTTCAAGGGCTAGACAATGTAGACTCATTGCTAGTCATTAGGGGCTTCAAATTTTACAAAGGGGAAAGGTAGTGTTGTGTACACTATTAATAGTGAGAGGTTTTCCCTAGCTCATGCTAGCACCCACGTTCAGTTGTTACATCACTTTATGATGTCATGTCTGTTGTATGTAGTCTGCCTACTCTGCAGACGGCAAACACCCGCATGAGGATGGGACACATTTAAAGAACTTTAACTGTGTTGACGTAACATGTAGTTAGTCCTTACTGTGGCAGTCAGGATTTCTATGGGTTCATAAGCAAGAACATGACAATCAAGCAGTTATATTGTCTATCTACTCACAATCCAGGCAAATTATACTATAGGCCTACCCAGTATCATGCAATCAACACTTCGCCACAGCCTTTTGAAAATATTCACTTACCCATACATTTTGTCTTTCTCGTCATTTTCTTGAAAGTAATCAATGATGGAGTTAGGATCCCTATCACAATCCCAATCAAACTGGATATCGCAGTATTCTGCCATAGCAAATTATCTTATTCATACAAATGTCTCAAAATAGATCCTGACAAACAAGCACCGCTAAATAATCCGAATGAGAAACCACGTTCACCTATTTACCGTTGACAACTGATGACCGCCAGCCTTAATGATTATAAATTATCTTTGAAATTGTCCGGTTACGATACTATTTAAATACACGACTTTGTTTTTTCACATATGATCATTTTTGTTTCACTTAATGCTACAAACATAGATTGTACAAGAAAATACGCCTCACAAATTGTATACCGGAAGTTAACACCGTTTTCTAACTCCGATTCTAAAGAGCACTGAACTAGGGACGTGTCATTGCTTGCATCTTGTTCAATACAAATACTTTATTTGGTTTTGTAATTGTCATCTAAATATATTATAATTAAAAGATATAAACTAAATGAAAGGTTTCGTATCTTCTTTAACGTATTATTAAAACATTAAATCACTTCTCTTTATCATTTTGTCCTTTTACAATGAGTACTCCCATAGCAGACAAAATGTCGAAAGAAAATGTGCCACCTGAGTCAGATTCAAAAGTTAAAGAATTGTTCAAGATACGCGATCCTGGTGCTCGCAAACTGGATTCAACATCACTATTTCGAACTGTAAACTTTGAGCTTTATGCACGTCCTGTAAGTAAAAGCAATATTTTGATGGAAATTTCAAATCCATTCCATATTTCATCTACAAGTCTATCATCAGCTGATCGCCCTGACCATGTTTATGATTTATTTGACTCCAAACTGATCAATATGGATGAACAAAATAAATATCTCTCATAGTTATATCAAGCTCATTCTATATAACTGATTGACTCCTATATACCACATCACATATCAATCGCTACATAAAAAATAAGCCTTTTTTGACAGCTATCAGATTTATAATTTTAAATTCCAACTTCAAGGTCAATGTACATGATAAGCTATTTGTCATGTTTGTAGATGGATACTTCATTATATTATGTTTTTGTTTTGTCTTAGAACAAGTTTGTGATGTTTACGGGCTTGGCAACATTTCTTACCTGTGTGGGCTACATGTTTTACATGAAGCAAGCTGATGAGAAAAACAACACCTATGCTGCTATGAATCCAGACGGAACATTGTCAACAAGAAAGCGGACGTCCAGATGGGATTGATTGTTTCTGTTGCTTGTTATAAAAGCAAAACAATAATGAACAGTGATGGAACATATTTTTTGTTTCAGTCATGTTGCTGTGGATGCATTTTGCAACTAGCAGTCAGCCAACTTTCTATATGCTGTACATAGTCATGTTATACAAGACATAATTTGAAATGAATGTGTATGGATGTAACTTTTAAGGCTATTCTTTAAAGTCTTTAATGGTTTACAATTAATGAGTAAAACATGAAGGTCCTGTGATGTGTGCTTGTAGATTCTTTTACAATGTTGATAATGTTTGTATATTTCTTAGTAAATGGATGAAATGATACTGGACTGGATCTTGGTTGTTTTTCAATCTTAACACAGAAGAAAAGGAACATTATATACTAATAATTTGTGCCCAGTATTTAGGGGCTTTGGAAAGCTTTGCTCCATATGACTCTGCCGATAATTTGCAGGTTGATATGTGTGCTCCATAGCAGGTGGTGTCAGGTGAGCCAAGTTTGAATGCCCGGTCTAATTATACAATCAAATGTCAGCTTCTGAAACAATTCTGCTAAATTTCTTTACCACCTTGATTTGCAAATTTCAATCTTAGCAAAAGAAAATAGAACACACATATACCTCTATGGATGTAGATTCCATGGATGTATAAAATACCCACAACAGTAAAATAGTGTGGCTTTATGTTTCTGCACTCGGATTCCCCAGTTATATTTTATTAGAGATTTAGAATCATCTATGCTTGTCTAAATGCTTTGCTCTCTTGTACCAAGAATTTATAAATTAAAGATAGGCCTCTTATACTCCATATATTTCCATGTTTTGCCTGGAATTCATGTACAAAGAGTGCAGTCAACAGCAGCAGATCTGGACACATAACCCTTCTGTATGTTTGTTTGTTGTTTAACGCCGCACTCAGCAATATTCCAGCTATATGGGGGCGGCCTGTAAATAATTGAGTCTGGACCAGACAATCCAGTTACTGACATCATGATCATGTATCCACGCAATTGAGATATTGACATGCATCAACCAAGTCAGCGAGCCTGACCACACGATCCCCATAGTCGCCTTATATGGCAAGCATGGGTTGTTGAAGACCTATTCTACCCCAGATCTTCACAGGTGTCAAGTCCTGTGATTCCGGTTTGGAACTTGCTACCAGCAACCCGTGCTTGTCATACGATGTGACTTAAAGGATCAATTGGTCAGGCTTGGTGACTTTGTTGATTGCTCGTCATTGCAGCCTGACAACTTAAGATTGGTTCTTGATATCAATCAGGTCAATTGACAGTACCAGCAAATTTGATTTTAGTCATTCAGAAACCATTCTCCATATCTCAAGAGCTCGCATTTCGGTGAACCTACATATTTCATGTGGGTTTATCGAAATGCTTTGTTTGTTTGTCTGTTGTTTAACACTGCACTCCGCAATATTCCAGCTATATGATTGTGATCTGTAAATAATCAAGTCTGGATCAGACAATCCAGTGATTGATATCATGATCATCCACGCAACTGGTATACGATGAAATGCATCAACCAAGTCAGCGAGACCGACCACCTGATCCCGTTAGTCACCTCTTATGACAAGCAGAGCCGCCTTTCGCGGCAAGCATGGGTTGCTAAAGACCTATTCTAACCCGAATCTTCTTTTGTTATCAAATTTGATGCGAGCCCTAAAGAGACGGATGGATGAGTTCAAACATGTAACCTAGTTACATTTTCATACATGTTAAATTAAAGCGTCTGGATCTCAATGGACAACAGATCGTGGTGTGTTGTTCCTCTTTGACGCAGTTTGTCCAGCATCATCCAAGATGTATGATAGCGACGACAGTGACCAGCAGCACGAGGGAGACGGCAAACTTCAAGTTGGCTAGGTGCTTGTGGGAGAGGAGTGAACATAGATCTGTGGTGCTTGGTCTGACCGCAATCATCTGGCTAACATAACCAGATGGGCAGATGAACCCAATTCTCATGTGGTCCACTACTCTTGAGATACATGCTTTGATTAATATTGCTTAAACATTCATATATTGCTGCCTGTGTTGTGTTACTTCATGTGTCGTCTGCTTTTACAACATGAAATCAATACATAAAGTTTATGGAGGAGACAACTTTTCAGTGAATTATTACAAAGGTGTCATTTTTATTTAAAATATGCTGTATTGTTTGTATTTGAAAAATTGAAATTATCCTCAATGATATTATGTCGTGATGCTTTGTCCATCATTTTTGTCCAAAAATTTTCGATATTTCCTACACAAGGCCCGTCTGAAACTTTGTATGAATTTTCCCAGATATGGTGTTTTTTGCTTTCTGTCTCTTTGCATATTGACCCAAAGTATCTGGGGGGCGGTCGGGTAGCCTAGTGGTTAAAGCATTCACTGGTCACACCGAAGACTCCGGTTCAATTCCCGACATGGGTACAATGTGTGAAGCCCTTTTCCAGTGTCTTCCGCCGTAATATTGCGAAAAAGCGGCGTAAAACCAAAGTCGCTCACTCTGGCTTACTTGTGTTTAATACTTGATAACTATCACTTTATGAGTGCCGACCTCCTCCGTGGTGAAAAAGTGAGTGAGTTTGGTTAAGCCATTTTTAGCAAATATTCCACAGTGTCGGAGACCAGAAGTGGGCTTCACACTTTGTACCCATGTGGGGAATCAAACATGTGCCTTTGACATGATGAACGAACGCTTTAACCTCAAGGCAACCTCTGCCCCATATGTACAAACAGCATTGATAGCAATTGCCCATAATTTGAAAATATTCTTCCACCCTGTATTCTCCTTCTGGATATCTTTTCGCAAGTCATGTTAAACTTGTTAGACGAGAAGGGTTATGAAACTACCTCATTGGCGATCTAGTTGTACAGAGATTAAATGAACGGGTGCCAGGTGACTTGGTTGATTGTTTGTCTTCATGCTGTGGACTCTTGCTCATGCTTTCAATCACTGGTTTGTCTGGTCGAGACTGAATTAAATAACATGTACATTTATGCGTGGAATACTATCTATACACATATATTCACATGTACTCAATTGGCAGTGAAATATGTATGATGTATGTTTGCTTGTTTGTTGGTTTGGTTTGTTTGTTGTGTAACGCCACACAGCTATATTCAGGGTCTGCAAATAATCAATTCTGGACCAGACAATCCTGTGATTGACATCATGAGCGTCAATCTATGCAATTGGGTTACGATGACATGCATCAACCAAGTCAGCGAGCCTGACCACCTGATCCTGTTAGTTCATGAATAGCATGTATTTATATTTTCACTTCTCTGGTAAAGGAGTAGGCTGAGTTTAACTCCTTTTCTTCCGTCTCCCGGTTATACCACTGCATGGCAGCATATTGTGTTGAGACAGTCTCTTATAAAACAATGTCCTTATTTGGTATGGTGATGACAAGCAAGGATCATAATCAGGGCAACTCTTGGGTTTAAACCCACGTTCACAGGATCCTGGCAAGCCTGATTGTCACACTTCTTCAGTGACTTGTAATGCCATCTACTGCTGGACCAGGAGCATAGACTTGGCATTGACAGACCAAGGATCTAAACTGCGGTGAATCAAGCTATGGCTGCAAAGGGAGACAATTCAATGCTTTTTCAATGCTTTTTCATCCAATCCTTCTATACATGACGATGACATGACTGCTGTTTGCCCCCCAATTATTTGATGTTCTGTCAAGGTCCCAGACATTGTATGTTGAGTGAGTGAGTTGGGTTCAATGGTACATCAGTTATATCACAGTGTGTCAGCTGATGCCGGTATGTTCAAACTGACCGATGCTTGTATGTTCATATTGACCGATGCTTGTATGTTCATATTGACTGGTGCGATTTCTTGTATGTTCATATTGAACTGATGCCAGTATGTTCATATTGACTAATGACGGTATGTTCAAATTGAACTGATGCCAGTATGTTCATATTGACTAATGACGGTATGTTCAAATTGACTGATGCTTGTATGTTCATATTGACTGATGTTTGTATGTTCATATTGACTGGTACAAATTCTTGTTTGTTCATATTGACTTATGCCTGCATGTTCATATTGACTGGTACAAATTCTTGTATGTTCGTATTGACTGATGCTTGTATGTTCATATTGACTTATGCTTGTATGTTCACATTAACTGGTGCGAATTCTTGTTTGTTCATATTGACTGATGCCTGCATGTTCATATTGACTGGTACAAATTCTTGTATGTTCGTATTGACTGATGCTTGTATGTTCATATTGACTTATGCTTGTATGTTCACATTAACTGGTGCGAATTCTTGTTTGTTCATATTGACTGATGCCTGTATGTTCATATTGACTTATGCTTGTATGTTCACATTAACTGGTGCGAATTCTTGTTTGTTCATATTGACTGATGCCTGTATGTTCATATTGACTTATGCTTGTATGTTCACATTAACTGGTGTGAATTCTTGTTTGTTCATATTGACTTATGCTTGTATGTTCACATTAACTGGTACAAATTCTTGTTTGTTCATATTGACTGATGCCTGTATGTTCATATTGACTGGTACAAATTCTTGTATGTTCGTATTGACTGATGCTTGTATGTTCATATTGACTTATGCTTGTATGTTCACATTAACTGGTGCGAATTCTTGTTTGTTCATATTGACTGATGCCTGCATGTTCATATTGACTGGTACAAATTCTTGTATGTTCGTATTGACTGATGCTTGTATGTTCATATTGACTTATGCTTGTATGTTCACATTAACTGGTGCGAATTCTTGTTTGTTCATATTGACTGATGCCTGTATGTTCATATTGACTTATGCTTGTATGTTCACATTAACTGGTGCGAATTCTTGTTTGTTCATATTGACTGATGCCTGTATGTTCATATTGACTTATGCTTGTATGTTCACATTAACTGGTGTGAATTCTTGTTTGTTCATATTGACTTATGCTTGTATGTTCACATTAACTGGTACAAATTCTTGTTTGTTCATATTGACTTATGCCTGTATGTTCATATTGACTGGTACAAATTCTTGTATGTTCGTATTGACTGATGCTTGTATGTTCATATTGACTTATGCTTGTATGTTCACATTAACTGGTGCGAATTCTTGTTTGTTCATATTGACTGATGCCTGCATGTTCATATTGACTGGTACAAATTCTTGTATGTTCGTATTGACTGATGCTTGTTTGTTCATATTGACTGATGCCTGCATGTTCATATTGACTGGTACAAATTCTTGTATGTTCGTATTGACTGATGCTTGTATGTTCATATTGACTTATGCTTGTATGTTCACATTAACTGGTGCGAATTCTTGTTTGTTCATATTGACTGATGCCTGTATGTTCATATTGACTTATGCTTGTATGTTCACATTAACTGGTGCGAATTCTTGTTTGTTCATATTGACTGATGCCTGTATGTTCATATTGACTTATGCTTGTATGTTCACATTAACTGGTGTGAATTCTTGTTTGTTCATATTGACTTATGCTTGTATGTTCACATTAACTGGTACAAATTCTTGTTTGTTCATATTGACTGATGCCTGTATGTTCATATTGACTGGTACAAATTCTTGTATGTTCGTATTGACTGATGCTTGTATGTTCATATTGACTTATGCTTGTATGTTCACATTAACTGGTGCGAATTCTTGTTTGTTCATATTGACTGATGCCTGCATGTTCATATTGACTGGTACAAATTCTTGTATGTTCGTATTGACTGATGCTTGTATGTTCATATTGACTTATGCTTGTATGTTCACATTAACTGGTGCGAATTCTTGTTTGTTCATATTGACTGATGCCTGTATGTTCATATTGACTTATGCTTGTATGTTCACATTAACTGGTGCGAATTCTTGTTTGTTCATATTGACTGATGCCTGTATGTTCATATTGACTTATGCTTGTATGTTCACATTAACTGGTGTGAATTCTTGTTTGTTCATATTGACTTATGCTTGTATGTTCACATTAACTGGTACAAATTCTTGTTTGTTCATATTGACTTATGCCTGTATGTTCATATTGACTGGTACAAATTCTTGTATGTTCGTATTGACTGATGCTTGTATGTTCATATTGACTTATGCTTGTATGTTCACATTAACTGGTGCGAATTCTTGTTTGTTCATATTGACTGATGCCTGCATGTTCATATTGACTGGTACAAATTCTTGTATGTTCGTATTGACTGATGCTTGTATGTTCATATTGACTTATGCTTGTATGTTCACATTAACTGGTGCGAATTCTTGTTTGTTCATATTGACTGATGCCTGTATGTTCATATTGACTTATGCTTGTATGTTCACATTAACTGGTGCGAATTCTTGTTTGTTCATATTGACTGATGCCTGTATGTTCATATTGACTTATGCTTGTATGTTCACATTAACTGGTGTGAATTCTTGTTTGTTCATATTGACTTATGCTTGTATGTTCACATTAACTGGTACAAATTCTTGTTTGTTCATATTGACTTATGCTTGTATGTTCATATTGACTGGTACAAATTCTTGTTTGTTCATATTGACTGATGCCTGCATGTTCATATTGACTGGTACAAATTCTTGTATGTTCGTATTGACTGATGCTTGTATGTTCATATTGACTTATGCTTGTATGTTCACATTAACTGGTGCGAATTCTTGTTTGTTCATATTGACTGATGCCTGCATGTTCATATTGACTGGTACAAATTCTTGTATGTTCGTATTGACTGATGCTTGTATGTTCATATTGACTTATGCTTGTATGTTCACATTAACTGGTGCGAATTCTTGTTTGTTCATATTGACTGATGCCTGTATGTTCATATTGACTTATGCTTGTATGTTCACATTAACTGGTGCGAATTCTTGTTTGTTCATATTGACTGATGCCTGTATGTTCATATTGACTTATGCTTGTATGTTCACATTAACTGGTGTGAATTCTTGTTTGTTCATATTGACTTATGCTTGTATGTTCACATTAACTGGTACAAATTCTTGTTTGTTCATATTGACTGATGCCTGCATGTTCATATTGACTGGTACAAATTCTTGTATGTTCGTATTGACTGATGCTTGTATGTTCATATTGACTTATGCTTGTATGTTCACATTAACTGGTGCGAATTCTTGTTTGTTCATATTGACTGATGCCTGCATGTTCATATTGACTGGTACAAATTCTTGTATGTTCGTATTGACTGATGCTTGTATGTTCATATTGACTTATGCTTGTATGTTCACATTAACTGGTGCGAATTCTTGTTTGTTCATATTGACTGATGCCTGTATGTTCATATTGACTTATGCTTGTATGTTCACATTAACTGGTGCGAATTCTTGTTTGTTCATATTGACTGATGCCTGCATGTTCATATTGACTGATGCCTGGATGTTCATATTAACTGGTACAAATTCTTGTTTGTTCATATTGACTGATGCCTGCATGTTCATATTGACCAATTGCTGTATGTTCACACTGACTTGTGTGTTAGACATTGTATGATCATGTTTACTGATGTGCCAGATATTTTATTACCCACAGGGTAAGAAATAATTTTTAAAAATCTGGACAGCATTGTTGACGTCATTTGGATCTTTTTGTGATGTAAGGTTGGAAAATGTCACACAAGAAAAGATATCCTAGCTGAAGATTGTTGACATCATTGAACAAGTGTTATTTTCTAACATGCCGACCCTGACCATTGCAATTTTTTTTAAAAGGGGAGATGAAAGGGATTAAGAAATAATGGGTAATACAGAAATTATTACACTCGCATGTGTGGCATACTGATTTTACCAAACAAGTGTCAGAATTACTGTATTTTCCGAGGGTTATACACAAATTCACAAGTTTTGTCAAATCAATAATTTCTATGTTCAATCTTGTTCACTGGTGGGCTTGTCTTTGTATATTCACATTGACAGCGTTAGTCGGATTTAACACAGCTTTTAACAGTATTCCAGTTATATCACAGCTTGAGGAAAGCCTGAAGTGATTCTGTTTGTAAATGTTCATATGGTCTGCTGATGTCAAGGGTCAGTCAGGCCAAAGATCGACAGTGTGATCCAAGCAGCAGATTGAACACCACATCAGCTGTTTGTCTCTTTCCAGGCAAACCAAATAATGAAGAATATGCATAAAAAGTCATATTTTTTATTGAACTTTTGGCTGTTCAAGCACCTTATAAAACATGGTCATGGGAAAATATAGCTCTCCACCACATTATGTACACCTGAACACCCTCATTATCACATGATAACTGAACAGCTAACCAATGTATAACAGCAGCACCGCCGGGGGGCTGGAAGTGGGGGGAGGGAGGCACAAGTCAGAACAACACACCTGGCCCATCGGGGCTCAGCGTAACGTGGTTTAGTGGCTCGGTAAACTACCACGTAGGTTAACACGGCACTCCAGACAAGATCCTCCATCTTACTCCAGCATATTTCTGTAGCAGGGTACTCAAACACATTGTTGGATTGTGCTTATGAAAAATTCAAGACTGAACATTCAGTAAATTGTTTTGGTCCACAACTATGTCCTCAAAGTTGCCATTTGTTTGAACATTTGGTTTTCTAAAGGACTGAATCTGTACCACAGAAGTGCCGTGTTAATCTACCTGTGTATATCAGTCTAAAACAGGCAAATTCATTAGTGCATAACAAGCAGATTTCACAAATGGACAATGGATGTAAAACCATTTGAACAGTCATATCCTTTCACTGCGAATTGAAACATTGTGAAGATCTGTATCACCAGCGCTATATCACCAATGTAAATAGCTCATCTACACATACATGTATCACTAAGGATGACATACCATGGCTTATTGCCCTTCCCATAAGCATGCACACTTACTGGATTCTGTTCACACAATCACTTCATCTCTTGTCACAGCTTGTAACATATGTACCCTTGCTCTTTCCTCCTAGTTTGAGTCTAACAACACTAAATCACTTTTATATTAGGGCTATGGGATGGACCTCTTGACTTTCATCCTTAATTTAAAACAATGCATACCCATTTTCCAGTATCAAGATTTTCCTTCCAATGAATAAAAAACAAAGTGATAATAATGCTACATCTATAAATGGTCCACCTTTAATTATGGCAGTCACAGGGACTGTAAAATATTCAAGTTCAATATTGCTGATTATGAAATACAATATAAATTCAAAATTTCCTTTAATATACCATACATTCTTAATGAAACTTATAACTACTCCCTCCAAACAAGATAATGCTTTTTGAGTATACTATTATTCATAAATCAAATATATTCCCAAGTAACTAGCACTACCTGTAGTCGCGATCACTACACTGCTTCGTCACAACCTGCTGCATCTACTATGTACACAATATAAACATTATCAACAACCTCAACCTCCTTGCTCCATAAAACGTAAGATACTGTTTACAGCAGTACAGTTCATTCAGATCTGATTGAGTATCACATTATTATGCAAAGCTTGAGCATCTAACACTATGCAAGACGAAAGTTTAGGAAACAATACATACTTTCTTGATTAAATCATCCCAACCAAAACTGAAAAATCCCATTGCATTGATTAAATCCTATGATATGTTCTGTTCTCTCTCTATATATATCAGCTGTGTGGTTGGTTATCAGGATCATTGTTTATATTCAGGGTTCAGACAAAGTTTAGATTCACAGACACAGTTGATACAAATTCTTTTCATAAATGTTAATTTTATATAAAAATGTAAATAATGAAAATAGGACAGAGGCAAAATGTGAAGACAAACTAAATCTAATTTGTTCACAGAAAAAACATTCGTTGAGTACCAGTAGTTATATTCATGGCCTGAACCAGGTCCATCCTACTTACTACTTGTTTGATTTAATTTGAAGATTACAGAATGAAAGTGACAAATCAAACGCCTGTGAACGAATTTGGCAATTTACCTCTATCTTAAGTACTAGTTTTGTCAAAACACAACATAAAACGAGACAAAGTGCGAGTCATTAAAAACCTAAGGGGATCATTGAAACTCCAAAATTCCCCCGTGGTTGGGACAAAACAAACAGAAATGTTATAAAAATCATGATTTGACTGAATGGACCCAAAGGTAATTATTTTCCTTAGATTACAAAAATGTGAACTTTTCTTGAGATGTACAGAATCAGGCGGAATAAAGTGTACGGATCCATGTGAATGAAACTAAGGAAGTTTCAGTGGAATGTTTGGATAACAAAATACAGATAATGCCTGAGACCTAGAAAATAAATAAATGAAAATATTGGCACCACTTTGAAGATTTACAGACTGAATAACAACACTTACAGATTTACATGCCATTGGAGTCATTAATGCTGGTACAAAATCAAATACAGTTACCATAGTAAGATGTGTGTTTGGGTTGATAAACAAATCAAGTGATAGATTTGATTGATTTTGTATGACAGGAATCAGATAAGTTTGATTGCAGGACCATGTTTCCAATAACTACAGAAATCACTACAGAAAATCAAAAACTTCACTCGTTCATGTCTACATTGTTACACTACACCAGTACCATACCATTAGTGGAGAAAATCTATCTACTGGCAGAGGTAGTCTAAACATACACACATCACACATTTCAAATAAATACGAGAACCTCTCAGTTATCAAAGTCGTGCAGACTGAATTGTTAGTCAACTGATCAACACTTCACAAACACTAATGCCAAAATCCTTTGGAAATTTAAATTATGCTTAATCCAGTCCCTATTAATTTGGATCATCGAAAAAATGTTAGTATGATATAAGTAGTATTGATGAGGACTGATGAGGATGCTCGTCTCCCCTATTCCTGGTGTTGCATCAGTGAAGTGTCGATCTCAACCTTGTGCTGTGTTGCAGCTTGCATCCTTCCATTCTGAGGGGAGGCAAGACTAGTGCCCAGCGATGTGAGACGAGTTAAAAGCGTACCCTTCACCCGATCAACCTGGTTATACATACTGAGATGCAACTAAAGATTTGTTAGTGCATGTATAGAAGGGGTACCCTGCAGATGCCGAGGCCACTGTGACATAAAGGTCATGTTTTCAGGGATGAGGAAATGAAAAGCGGAATTTTGTTGCTTCTTCCATGCAAACTCTGAGACTAGAAAATGTGAAATTTGTGAAAAGTCACTGTTCTGAAAAATCTCAGTCAATATCTACAAATTCCCTCCAACATTATTAAATATTTCACCAAAAGTGAGGCTGTTTGTATCTCATTTTCTACAACCAACTTTAGATGTTTGTGTCAAAAGTGTCATTACTGTGAAAATATGTGATGTACAACACAAACAGCCCCATATCTTGCAGATGTCTTTTTATCAAGAGAACCTTGGGATAATGCCAATGTGAACTTGTGCAACTTACAAACTACCATCTGGATCTTTTGAAAGAAACTGTCATATCCTTATTGACAAACACTTCCTACCAACCATGTAGATAAAAACACAGCCTCAAATTAGTGTAGCGAGAAATTTATCACATTGCTTCTAAATTTCAAATTCCAAAAGGACATTCAATGAAAGTTTCAAAGGATTAGAACATTCAACTCTGGGTCACGGTAAATCCTCAAAGTTTCACAGGGTTGTGTGAAACATACAACACGTGAAATGGTGTATTTTGAATGTACATTGAATTCAGTTATTGTGTGCCATGGTATCAAATTTTTGTAATCTGATAAGTTTGAGGTCCAATTTGTGAAACGAAAGGCAATTGAACACTCATGACCAACTTATGTATGTCTTTACAGATAACAAAATCTAGGACAAATGGATAATTTCTTGTATATTTTCACACCCTTGTATTGTGAATGAAAGTGTGTGTGTGTTGGGGGGTGGGGGGATAATTCACAGCTGTCACCAGCTAAACAAGACATCTGATTGGGCTAACATCACAAAAATAATCATGGCTGATGCCACAATCGTCAAAAGTCATCTGGTGGGGTTTCAACTATCAGTCAAAAAGTCAGTTCACAGAGCTCTGTGACAAATACCACACGTTACACACTTCAAGAAAAATGTCTTGTAAACAGAGACACACCACAAATATTTCTAGGTAGGAGTGTTAGGAAAGGTTTTGGTAGTTCTTTCAAAGGCAGTAAGTTACACAAGCTATTATGTTAAAATTGAGATAAGTTACAACAATATTGATGCATATATGATGAAAGATATATTTACAACCTTAAAAGATGATGTAAATTCTCAATGGAGATCTTGAATGAAAGCAAAGGGTATTCCAAAAGTTTGAGTCATCATTTTGAGTCCATGGACCATCCACTGCCTCACCCTGACCCTGGGTCAAAGTGAAGGTCAGTGCATCCGCTGTTGTGCAGAAACATGAAAGACAACAGAAATGGCGATAATATCGTCATCGTTCCAACAAGGATTCCATCTCAGCAGTAGGTATGCGTTGCTATGGTTACGAAAGTGGAAACTTCCTGAGATATTATTGGACACTGTCCTGGCTCTATTTGAAGATTCCTGGTTGGGTGACACTCTTCCGTGTGCTGCCCTTCGGACGACCGCGGTTCCGGGGAAGAGTACCATATGCAGATATCTTACTTTGCTGAAAATAAAACACAAACAATTAACACACACACACATAAAAATAGACAAAAATATAATCTATGAGAAAATACTGACCGTAAATATATTCTACGAACATCAGTTTGTTTTGAAAACTTTCATGAGGCATGAATTGTTAATATCAACAAAAAGTGCTATTTGAAATTTAAAAATTAGATAAACTGTTACATAAGTGAAAAGAAAAAAGAGAAACGAAAGAAGTGATTGTTTGTTATGAAGTAAATGTTTAATGTTGAGAACCCTACCAAGCAGATGCTTATCAACTCCACTACACATGCAGTGTGCTTGTCAAACCAACTACCATCAAACACAATGTCAGAATGAAGCTAGGAAATATATGTCATTTGCCATTACAGTCTTTGGACTATACTGTATTTGAAATTGGCTTACTCAATAATTAAAGCTTTCTATGGCGTGATCGATGTTACTTGTATCATTGGTGTGTCACTTTCCGTTTAATTTCAGACGTCTACAACTGCCAATACAGCTACATGGGGCGGAACCCTTTGTGAGTATGTCTCCACACCTCAAAATATCCCATGTTACACTGGTCTAGCCATTCAATAAATGAAACTTATCACACAAAAAATGATATAATGATGTTTTGTTTATATACTCACCGCCACAAGAAACGCGAATACCATATATGTTGGTAAATATATGAAGACGTACTGATAGACATGTTTCATGTATGTGTCGTCATTGCAATCAACGGGCATTCTATTGATGTCCTTGTAATACAATGACCCAACCCTCATATAGCGCACCACCAAAACAAATACAAGGGAGCGAATTTGAAACCCTTTCAAAATATGATTTCTGTAAATCAAAAAAACAGGGAACGTTTGAAAAAGATATCACAACACAGAGCAGCATTTGGCCAAAATGAAGTGGAAATAAAACAGGAAGACGGAAGTGATACAGAATGAGATGAACATGGACGTATGGCTGCCATTCAGTGAGTTACATGACTATCACACTACCATTGCTGTCTACTAATTGCTAGCTTCAGTAACTAATTGTAACTGAATACACAGCTACCTATACACAAAGGGACTAGTCTATGGGTGTTTTCTTCAAGGCATATTAATATTATTAAAAGTGAAACACAAATCAGAGATGACAAAACTCCCCAAAACAGCAGAAATATATTTTTTATGGTTCACCGCCCACCAATCCAACAAAAAATATACCCAATGGTAAAGGATTTCAATGTGAGACAATTGTGAAAAAGAAATATGGCTTGGAGCAATTATTTCTTTTATTGTTTGAAAGAGTTTTCCAAAACTCTCTTACAAAGCAGCCGATGAGGAAGTATTTTGATATTTTCCTCTCAAAGCATCTATCATTAATTTGTATACCAGCGTTAGAAATTGGCACTTGTGCTATAGTCCCTGCCAAACTGCCCAATAGTTAAGGTATCATAAGGACCAGTAGAAATTTGCCATTTTTAAGGGTTTATCATCATAAGGTCTAGTAGAGTAAAACAGATAGTTTCTATCACTGTATCCTGTCCTTGTTGCAAACTTATCAACAGCATATAAAGGTAGCAGGCACAATACAGAACCCTTGTTCAAGAACATGTTTCCAGTGTCCTGTTTGCCATCACTGGTTAGCACAGAGACTAGTAACTACAACATTAGTAAAACAGTCGGAGGTAACGTCTACAGTGTGGGATGAAACTGAAAGTCGTGATGCACCACTGCCTGTCATCTCACTCAACATGCACATGGACGACGGACACGCAGCATGGACGGACAGGCTACAAGACCAGGGCGATAGTAGGCACAGAGCTCCACAACAGCCAAAACAATGGAAAGACTTACAGAAAATGCTTGGGAGCAAAATTACTTAGTTAGTGAGAAGCATATGACACTCAGATCCATGAACAAACAAGTCTTATTAATGCAAGGCTTGTCTAATATTAATCTGAATGCACGTTTTGTAAGATTAAAGAATGTAACAAGCAGTTTTCAGATGAAAATTTGAGGGGGCCTTTTTGCAAATGTACTGTGTCTAAAAAAACAGAAAAAATATTCTGATGTAGGGAAGTTTTAACTGATTATGAGTGTGTCTGAAATTCAACACGATAACACTGGACCCTCCAAAGGTTCATTGAAATTTAATTTGTCTCTGTGTTACAACAGAAAACCTTGAAAATATTGATCCTAGCTGACAAGCTTCAAAGCATTTTCGACAAGTCCTTCCTCAATGCGAATTATATTGACCTCTCCTTTCTGTCTCCACAACACGATGGATCAGAAAATGCAATCAGCATTTCCAGGAATAATTTGGGTATCCCACACTTGGAGTCCAAGAATTGGACCGAGCTCGATACCGAGGAATGGTTCCAGTGGTCCCCTTGTTCCGATCATACAACGCAGTCCCACTTCCGTATTGTCTATCCTTCTTATCATACAACCCAGCACTACCACCATAGCTCCGAGTCCGCTCGTACAGACTAGAGGTCGACCGGTACATGTTGGAAGGGTTATCATAGAGGAAGGAATCATAAGGATTCCTCTCCGGAAGACTCGAGGTGCTGCCATAACTTGGTGAATTCTTGTCATACAGGTTAGCCGAGATGCCGTAGCTGGATGTGAGTTTGTCAGGTAAGCTAGAGTTACTTCCATAACCGCTGCCACCGCTGCTGTAGCTATAGTTGCTATAGCGACTACCAGAGCTGACCATGCTGCTTCCAAAGTTAGAGTCCTGTTATAGGTAAATGGTAGACTTAGACCAGAACTTACCACGAGAGTGCTATGACTGTTTTGGGATGTTTTCTGCAAGTGATTACATCTCAAAGCTATAAGAAGCCTGGAGATAGAGTGTGACATGCTCAGTGATTATTGGTCATTGGTGGTTAATGATTAGATGATTAGCTAATTGAGCATGACCATTGTAAGACATGAAAACATGCTAATGTGTTAGAATATTGTAAAAGAATGGAAAAGATTGTAAGAACATGCCGTCTAATGTACACATTTTGAAATGGTATGATAAAAGAGATGTCAATTCAAAAACAAATTGCATTCAATATGACTGCAATATATAAGAGCTTTAACCTTTGGCATCCAGTGATCATTCTGTTAACTTACACAAACATGGTAATCTTAATAAATGATTGTCAATACTTGGACAATCCTGTTCGTAACATTTTGAAGAAATCCTCTGAATAACGTCTACAGATAAATGCTACAGACATAGTGCATGTTTAACGCTACTTAGAACAGTATTCAGTTATATCATGGCGTGTTACTTCGTTGTGGAGGTAAGCCCTAAGTGATGCAGGTCTTAAACGTTTACAATGTGTTGGTGAAAATCCAACAGCCTGGGTATGGTGCTGACAATACCAAAACCATTACCAGGACAAAACTGGGATTCAAACCCCTGATCAAAGGTTCCTGACACACCTAAGGGACGCAACTCTGCACAGTGAATGTCAGCACTTCAGGTGACGAGGCCCCTTGTGCTCCACTAATTACAGACACAGAGATACACCAGAAGCATGTGTGTACAAAGTGACACATGGAGTTGACTGTCAACACATTACATCAGGGTAGAGAAGCTGGACACACCCCAAGAAACACAACAGAAGACCCAGATACAAACCAACAAGTAACAAGGACTATTATCATTTTCATGTTATCTTGAAATAATATTATCCTAATTCCATATATACGTCACTACTTCATATTGAATACTTGAAGATAAATATGGCTTAACCTCAGAGTTTTTTTTTATTCATCATAAAGCTGTTATATATACTCGCTAATGCTACTAGGTCCAAGCTGTATGAATATAAGGAACAGTCTTTATTAATTTGAGCAAATAATAATATTGGTAAGCAGATACAAAATATTAAATGAATAAAAATATCAGTAAGGTGTGCCCCCATGCAGTGTTATCTGCAAAAGTGGGAGTAGAAGCACACTGCCTCCCCCTGAAACCTACCTCTTTAGCTGTGTACTGCTTGCGTGTGTTTGGATACAGCATTATCTCCTCTGTCACTGTCACTTCTTCCTCTTCCTCCTCCTCCACCTCCTTCACACTCGACAGAGCTGAAACACAAACATCAATCTCTTTATCGGTCAGCTAGTGAGTTTTCTTGATCTCACGTCATGTCAACTTATTGTGGAAGGAAAGCCCAAAGTGACGCAGGCCTAGATCTTTACCACTATTGTAAAACAAACATACAAATAAACAAAGATATGGTGCTGACAAATCTGGAAACAAGAACTGGGAAAATTTGGGATTTGTACCCATGATCAGAGATTTCTGGCATGCTTTAGAACGAATTGCAGTGCCTTAGACAGCAGGGACATCTGAACACCCCCATCCTACTCAATAAGGCTGCAAATGATTTGGAACTATATAAAACATAATTTGTAAAGTTACTCTAGTGAATGAAAATATACCTTAAACTGTGGTTACTTTCAGAATGATTCCTCTCGACAAACAGATTATTAGTTTCATTCAGCGTTGTAAAGTATGGGGACATGTGATACAGGCAGTGTTGGCCTGGCAGTGCATAGCCGGGCAGTGTATAGCCGGGCAGTGTATAGCCAGGCAGTGTTGGCCTGGCAGTGCATAGCCGGGCAGTGTATAGCCAGGCAGTGTATAACCGGGCAGTGTATAGCCAGGCAGTGTATAGCCAGTGTATAGCCAGGCAGTGTATAACCGGGCAGTGTATAGCCAGGCAGTGTATAGCCAGTGTATAGCCAGGCAGTGTATAGCCGGGCAGTGTATAACCGGGCAGTGTATAGCCAGGCAGTGTATAGCCAAGCAGTGTTTAGCCGGTGTATAGCCAGGCAGTGTATAGCCAGGCAGTGTATAACCGGGCAGTGTATAGCCAGGCAGTGTATAGCCAGGCAGTGTTGGCCTGGCAGTGTTGGCCTGGCAGTGCATAGCCGGGCAGTGTATAGCCAGGCAGTGTATAGCCAGGCAGTGTTTAGCCAGGCAGTGTATAGCCAGGCAGTGTATAACCGGGCAGTGTATAGCCGGGCAGTGTATAGCCGGTGTATAGCCAGGCAGTGTATAACCGGGCAGTGTATAGCCAGCCAGGCAGTGTATAGCCAGGCAGTGTATAGCCAGCCAGGCAGTGTAAAGCTGGGCAGTGTATAGCCAGGCAGTGTATAGCCAGTGTATAGCCAGGCAGTGTATAACCGGGCAGTGTATAGCCAGGCAGTGTATAGCCGGGCAGTGTATAACCGGGCAGTGTATAGCCAGGCAGTGTATAGCCAAGCAGTGTTTAGCCGGTGTATAGCCAGGCAGTGTATAGCCAGGCAGTGTATAACCGGGCAGTGTATAGCCAGGCAGTGTATAGCCAGGCAGTGTTGGCCTGGCAGTGTTGGCCTGGCAGTGCATAGCCGGGCAGTGTATAGCCAGGCAGTGTATAGCCAGGCAGTGTTTAGCCAGGCAGTGTATAGCCAGGCAGTGTATAACCGGGCAGTGTATAGCCGGTGTATAGCCAGGCAGTGTATAACCGGGCAGTGTATAGCCAGCCAGGCAGTGTATAGCCAGGCAGTGTATAGCCAGCCAGGCAGTGTAAAGCTGGGCAGTGTATAGCCAGGCAGTGTAAAGCTGGGCAGTGTATAGCCAGGCAGTGTATAGCCAGGCAGTGTATAGCCGGGCAGTGTATAGCCGGGCAGTGTATAGCCAGGCAGTGTATAGCCGGGCAGTGTATAGCCAGGCAGTGTATAGCCAGGCAGTGTATAGCCAGGCAGTGTATAGCCAGGCAGTGTTGGCCTGGCAGTGCATAGCCGGGCAGTGTATAGCCAGGCAGTGTATAACCGGGCAGTGTATAGCCAGGCAGTGTATAGCCAGTGTATAGCCAGGCAGTGTATAACCGGGCAGTGTATAGCCAGGCAGTGTATAGCCAGTGTATAGCCAGGCAGTGTATAGCCGGGCAGTGTATAACCGGGCAGTGTATAGCCAGGCAGTGTATAGCCAAGCAGTGTTTAGCCGGTGTATAGCCAGGCAGTGTATAGCCAGGCAGTGTATAACCGGGCAGTGTATAGCCAGGCAGTGTATAGCCAGGCAGTGTTGGCCTGGCAGTGTTGGCCTGGCAGTGCATAGCCGGGCAGTGTATAGCCAGGCAGTGTATAGCCAGGCAGTGTTTAGCCAGGCAGTGTATAGCCAGGCAGTGTATAACCGGGCAGTGTATAGCCGGTGTATAGCCAGGCAGTGTATAACCGGGCAGTGTATAGCCAGCCAGGCAGTGTATAGCCAGGCAGTGTATAGCCAGCCAGGCAGTGTAAAGCTGGGCAGTGTATAGCCAGGCAGTGTATAGCCAGTGTATAGCCAGGCAGTGTATAACCGGGCAGTGTATAGCCAGGCAGTGTATAGCCGGGCAGTGTATAACCGGGCAGTGTATAGCCAGGCAGTGTATAGCCAAGCAGTGTTTAGCCGGTGTATAGCCAGGCAGTGTATAGCCAGGCAGTGTATAACCGGGCAGTGTATAGCCAGGCAGTGTATAGCCAGGCAGTGTTGGCCTGGCAGTGTTGGCCTGGCAGTGCATAGCCGGGCAGTGTATAGCCAGGCAGTGTATAGCCAGGCAGTGTTTAGCCAGGCAGTGTATAGCCAGGCAGTGTATAACCGGGCAGTGTATAGCCGGGCAGTGTATAGCCGGTGTATAGCCAGGCAGTGTATAACCGGGCAGTGTATAGCCAGCCAGGCAGTGTATAGCCAGGCAGTGTATAGCCAGCCAGGCAGTGTAAAGCTGGGCAGTGTATAGCCAGGCAGTGTAAAGCTGGGCAGTGTATAGCCAGGCAGTGTATAGCCAGGCAGTGTATAGCCGGGCAGTGTATAGCCAGGCAGTGTATAGCCGGGCAGTGTATAGCCAGGCAGTGTATAGCCGGGCAGTGTATAGCCAGGCAGTGTATAGCCAGGCAGTGTATAGCCAGGCAGTGTATAGCCAGGCAGTGTAAAGCCGGGCAGTGTATAGCCAGGCAGTGTATAACCGAGCAGTGTATAGCCAGGCAGTGTATAGCCAGGCAGTGTATAACCGGGCAGTGTATAGCCAGGCAGTGTATAACCGGGCAGTGTTTAGCCGGGCAGTGTATAGCCAGGCAGTGTATAGCCAGGCAGTGTAAAGCTGGGCAGTGTATAGCCAGGCAGTGTATAGCCGGGCAGTGTATAGCCAGGCAGTGTATAGCCGGGCAGTGTATAGCCGGGCAGTGTATAGCCAGGCAGTGTAAAGCTGGGCAGTGTATAGCCAGGCAGTGTATAGCCAGGCAGTGTATAACCGGGCAGTGTATAGCCAGGCAGTGTATAGCCAGGCAGTGTATAGCCAGGCAGTGTATAACCGGGCAGTGTATAGCCAGGCAGTGTATAACCGGGCAGTGTATAGCCAGGCAGTGTATAACCGGGCAGTGTTTAGCCAGGCAGTGTATAGCCAGGCAGTGTATAGCCAGGCAGTGTTTAGCCGGTGTATAGCCAGGCAGTGTATAGCCAGGCAGTGTATAGCCGGGCAGTGTATAGCCGGGCAGTGTATAGCCGGGCAGTGTATAGCCGGGCAGTGTATAGCCAGGCAGTGTAAAGCTGGGCAGTGTATAGCCAGGCAGTGTATAGCCAGGCAGTGTATAACCGGGCAGTGTATAGCCAGGCAGTGTATAACCGGGCAGTGTATAGCCAGGCAGTGTATAACCGGGCAGTGTTTAGCCAGGCAGTGTATAGCCAGGCAGTGTATAGCCAGGCAGTGTTTAGCCGGTGTATAGCCAGGCAGTGTATAGCCAGGCAGTGTATAGCCGGGCAGTGTATAGCCGGGCAGTGTATAGCCAGGCAGTGTATAGCCGGGCAGTGTATAGCCGGGCAGTGTATAGCCAGGCAGTGTATAGCCAGGCAGTGTATTGCCGGGCAGTGTATAGCCGGGCAGTGTATAGCCAGGCAGTGTATAGCCGGGCAGTGTATAGCCGGGCAGTGTATAGCCAGGCAGTGTATAGCCAGGCAGTGTAAAGCCGGGCAGTGTATAGCCAGGCAGTGTATAGCCGGGCAGTGTATAGCCGGGCAGTGTATAGCCGGGCAGTGTATAGCCAGGCAGTGTATAGCCGGGCAGTGTATAGCCAGGCAGTGTATAGCCAGGCAGTGTATAGTCAGGCAGTGTATAGCCAGGCAGTGTATAGCCAGGCAGTGTATAGCCGGTATATAGCCAGGCAGTGTATAGCCGGGCAGTGCATAGCCAGGCAGTGCATAGCCAGGCAGTGTATAGCCAGGCAGTGTATAGCCAGGCAGTGTATAGCCAGGCAGTGTATAGTCGGGCAGTGTATAGCCAGGCAGTGTATAGCCAGGCAGTGTATAGCCAGGCAGTGTATAGTCGGGCAGTGTATAGCCAGGCAGTGTATAGCCAGGCAGTGTATAGCCAGGCAGTGTATAGCCGGTGTATAGCCAGGCAGTGCATAGCCAGGCAGTGTATAGCCAGGCAGGTGTGATTGATGACACTATGGACCATTACCAGCAGCAGCGCTCTGACTTTTCTTGAGCCGCGAATGTTTGTTGGATATATCGATAGAGTCCTTGCTGCGAGTTAGACGCCCTTGCGTCTCCAGTTCCTGCTGATCTTCTCGTAACCTGTTATCTACAAACAAATAGTGAAGCTGATGGTTAGGTGGTCTTAAATAAAATGTTAATTTTGTGAATCTGCAAGCAAGATCTGCTTTTACTTCCAATGGTGATTGGTGCACATACAAAATACAACACCATGAGCTTTAACTAGTCCAGTTGAAATATTCAACTTGTCCACTAAAAAAATTTAACTAGTCCAGTTGCAATATTCAAGTTATCAACATGTCAATATAATAAAACATTTTTGTATTTCTGTATGTTAATATACTGACAGAACAGAAACGTGAACCATAGAAACATATAGAGAAGTATGTACCTTAAGAAATGATGTACCACTTAGTGACAAAATTAACAATCAGTCAAGTGCTACCACAGAGTGACTTTATTCTTATCATGACATGCTGCACATGATTTCCAAACTTGACATGCTAATCCTGCAGGAAACAAATGGTGCATCTCAAGCATGGATCTATGACGTCACGTGATGCACGAATGAGCATCAGTTCACACAACATACCAGTATGTTTGTTTGTGCATTGAACCAATCTACTATCTCTTGAATATGAGTACGGTAATTCTTAATATATTAACCAACATGTATGATATTCATGTTTCTTTTGTCCGAAGTATATAATAAAACTCTACTCATTCACTGCTAATCCATCGATGTGGAGCAAGTGGTACCATCAGCAGAAGTCCCAAATTATGTGTTCAGATTTCCTTTGACTATCTGCTATTCAAAGGTGGCGTTCCCGGCCAAGAACTGAAGTGGCACCACTGTAACAAGCACTGCTCTTACCTAACTCATCATCATCATCATCTTCCTCAAACACGTGTCTCTGAGCCAGCGAGTGACCATCATCAGTAAGGTCACTGGTGCTGTAGCTCCGTCGTATGTGGTCAACCAGCTTTCCGTGACCCTGAAACAGTTAGATGCCATCTTAAGTCAGTGAATGAACACTGCTAACAGGGGCAGAAATTATCTGTTATTTTCAATAGTCTGCAAAAATGACCTGCTACAGTGTTTCCATCTGCCTTATTGTAAAACTTGTAGGCCGCAATGAAATATCATCAGTTATTCCAGAATTTTACTTGTTTTAGACTTATGTTACTATTTAAGCTTACAGTCATCAATTACTGTAGCTCACTATTGTAAGCTTGGAAAAACAACCTAAAATCTAAAATAAAAAGTATATATATATTTTTAATACTATTAATAACTAATACATTGCAAATGCATTGGATTTTAACTTTTTGACCCCTCATACAGATTTATCTCCCTTTGACCATTCACCCAACAACACAAAACCCAAGCGTTATCTCCCTTAGGCCAGTGGCTCTTACTCTGAGTGTTGCTTGCATGATGGTTTTGGAAGCAAATTGCAACCCTCTTGTTCCCAGGGTGAGTAGAGTAGAATACCCCTGCTTGCTGGCTTGGACAATCAACTCGTCGATGTCCTGTAACAGACAACATCAATCATCTCGTCATATTCTGTCTGGAATACGAGGTTTATTTATCAAAGAAGTAAATGTTTAGAAAGAGTCTGCATGAAGCTTTCGGCACAGTGGTCAAAACGACACCAGCTGTTTGGAGTCAGTCAGTTCAGAAATCAGTCAGACAGAATCACTCCGGGTCTTGGCACATGATGCAGACATGCGGTAATCTAATTCCGAAACAACACTTCAAAGTTTATCTGCACCCTTCACCAAGCTTCTGAAGATGTAGTGTCTGGCTTTCAAAGCCAGCTGATAAAAGAAGGACTAATCATATCAGCAGGGGGCATGATCACTGTTTTCAATTAGTTTAGGGGTATTTGGAGTGGAAACAGTTCAACGTCTAAATGTACTGTGAATGAGAGTTTTTTCTTCTATAGTGTCTGACATTTTGTAAATCAATTGTACTGATGGGGGAACTGTCTTTCATTATTATTATATTATTATTTTAAATGTGTGTGTGTGCGTGTGTGTGTGGGTGTGTGCCTGCAATAGATAAGAAGGTGGTATTAAGTTGCTCGCATGTGATCATATTCCAATTACATAGATCAATGCTCATGATGTCAATCACTGGATTGTCTGGTCCAGACTTGATTTTTTACAGACCGCTGCCATACAGCTGGAATAATGTTGAGTGTGGCATTAAACAGCAACAAAAATATGACGACAATGTGAACTATTTGAAGTGTCCATTTGAGTGAACGTATCTTTGAAAGCATTTTGCCATATCGCATTTAGCAAAGCAATAAAAAAAAACAAGTATTTGTCACAGAGTGACGAAATATCCCCCGCCTGTACACCATACTACCAAATATGAAGACAATCCAGCGATTAGTTCTTGAGATATTGTGGCAACACCGTTTTCCAACTCCAAAAACAGATTTGCCTGCTGTGACCTTGAAAATGGGGTCAAGGTCACCAAATCTGACAGGTGTATGCAGTGTCTGTATATACACCATAGTTCCAAATATGAAGACAATCCAGTGTTTAGTTCTTGAGATATCGCGGCAACACCGTTTTCTAACTCCAAAAGCAGATTTGCCTGCTGTGACCTTGACAATGGGGTCAAGGTCACCAAAACCGACTGGTGTCTGCGGTGTCTGTATATACACCATAGTTCCAAATATGAAGACAATCCAGTGTTTAGTTCTTGAGATATCGCGGCAACACCGTTTTCCAACTCTAAAAGCAGATTTGTCTGCTGTGACCTTTAAAATGGGATCAAGGTCACCAAAACCGACTGGTGTCTGCGGAGTCTGTATATACACCATAGTTACAAATATGAAGACAATCCAGTGTTTAGTTCTTGAGATATCGCGGCAACACCGTTTTCCAACTCTAAAAGCAGATTTGTCTGCTGTGACCTTTAAAATGGGATCAAGGTCACCAAAACCGACTGGTGTCTGCGGAGTCTTTATATACACCATAGTTCCAAATATGAAGACAATCCAGTGTTTAGTTCTTGAGATATCTCGGCAACACCGTTTTCCAACTCCAAAAGCAGATATGCCTGCTGTGACCTTGAAAATGGGGTCAAGGTCACCAAAACCGACTGGTGTCTGCGGAGTCTGTATATACACCATAGTTCCAAATATGAAGACAATCCAGTGTTTAGTTCTTGAGATATCGCGGCAACAAACAGGTGGGACGTACGGACGGACGTACGGACGGTCGTGAATACTATATCCCCCGCTTCGCGCTTTCGCGCGGCGGGGGATAATCAGAAAAAGTACATGCACTTGTTTGTTGATTTGAAAAAGAAATATTCATTTCACATTTCATACTTCAGAATATCTACATTGATAATAACACTCAGGGTAAACTATTTGTGTTTGCTTTCTATGTGAAACCAAACAGTTTGAAAGTTTACCACTCATGTGAATAGTTTGTGTTTGGCACGGAAGTGATATTACAGGGGCATGTGAAATGTTCACAGTCCTGATCAACAACCCTCATGGTCTCAAGATGGCAGTTAATGTATACAATTCTTAGACCACAACAAACTGACTAACTGTTTGTATGCATGTGTAATTATTACTTTAAATAACTTTAGTTTTCTACATGACTCTTGTTGGTGGCTGGGTGTGTGTGTTCCATCATAAAGCACAAATGAGCATCTCCATTTATTACACTCATCCCACATAACAAAAACCTGATGATTACCTGTATGAAACCTTGCTTGATATTAATTCAAAGGTATAACATTTTTGAAAGGTCAGGCATACATTGATCTGGACAATGTTCTGGTCATAAGCAAAATATGTCATTAAGAAATGCATCCAGATGAAAACTGATTTATTTTTTGATCCTATATCACCAGTTTACCTTTTCCCGTTTTGCCAGCTGTGGATGAACAAATTTCTTGAAAAGGAAGCTGGATCCCTTTGTCATTGGCGAAAGCATCCATAGCACAAACACAATCTTCACCTCGTAATAAAATGGAAGCCTGAAAACAGAAGGAACTTGTTGAACATCTTCCCAGATTCCTGCACAAACTGGAGTGTTCCCCAGTTTATTATGATAAAATGCAAATAATGTCCAACATAAGCTTAAACAATCAAACAAATGACCAATACAACAAGGAAACATAAAAAGTAATAAGTCATGTTTCCAGGGGTTTCTCGTGCATTTGAAACATACCAGTGAGAAGGAAAAAGCATACCTCAGAATTATATTATTCTCAAAAGTTATGTTTAAAAAATGGACTGCTTCCTGTCTACTCACTGCATAGATCAAGAGTGAGTGAGGGGGGTGGGTTTAACTCCCCAAAATTGTACTTCAGTTGTAGGACAGCATATCAGTCTAACTTTATTAAGTGAATGGTGTATTGTGGTACAATTAACACATTTCAAGCAATATTATGTCTACCTGTAATTAATAAAGTCTGGTCAGACCAGTTGGCACCAGTATGAGCTACGAACCAGGCTACTAGGGCACAGAAAACTCCTGCAGGACACACATTGTCAAGACTGAATATGTTCAAGATTCAGCTCTTCCAAGTACGGTACTGGGGACTTATTCTATGCTAGAATCCTCATGTTAGGCTAGTACACGATTTTCACTTTGTCACAGATATGATATCAATATGCTAATGTTAATATGTTCTACACAATAACAGTATGCACAATCTGTGTAGCCATTCAAAGCTGAAGAGTCAGTAGGGTTCCAGCCCAATGAATGTGCTGATGAATTCAATTTGGCAACATGTGTTTTATTGAATATGCAGATTACCCAGCACCTGACTTGACAAGCGTAGTTGTGCTGATCATCAACCAATGCAGGTTGCACTGAAAGGTTGCACTGAAACATCATTTTCTCCAGGCAAGGGAGTTAATAGACTGTAAAAGTACAGTTTCCACCCTTGCCGAACTAGGCTGGAAGTATGGAGTAATATTTTGGCTGGACTACCGAGTCCGTGCATAGTCCAATCAAAATCGCTTAACATAATCGCCATCTAGTTCATCTGCTGTGCACCTTTCAGTTGATTGCAGTATTTGTAAAGCATGTGTATTGACAACTCAGCGTCAACAGATATTTTCCAAATATTTTCAGATTTTCAATGAAGGTGCTCACATGATTTGATATTTCGAAATAAGACCCGGTTTCTTTTTACAATATAGAAATTTATTATTAATCAGATTGTCTTGACTGGGTTACTCCATTTTCTTTGAAGCCAATGCAAGTGATATGAGAATATGATATGATATGAGTTTACAGTCAGTTAACTCCCTTGCCTGGGAAAGCTGTTGGAACATCTGCAGCCATGTCATACAGTGTACATCATGGTTCTACCATCACTGCTCCAACCAACCATGCCAGCCAGCCAGAAGGCCAACTGTGCTGTCCACCCTTAACTGATCAAGATGAAACAATATTCAAAATTAGGGGGGACTGGGATCTTTGAGGTTTGCTCCTATAGTAATTCAATCTAGGTATTCTTAAAATTCTAACTCTTTACCATTAGAGTTATAACAAGGACCACTGACTTTCATGCTTAATTTCAAATGCTGCTGAACACTATCACAGATGAACATTCGCGTTTCTGTGATAATTATTCACAATTCCATTGAGTGAGCAAGTATGGTTTTCTGTTGCATTATTCCAGCCATATCATGGAAGGGGACACCAGCTTTTCACCTTGTACATTCATTATGAAGGAATCAAACAGTCTTTGGCGCATGCTGGCATGACACACACTTGGGACAACCACTTAAGCATCCCCAGTGCTATGATACTACCAATGGAGGCAAGATGAGGTGAAATGGAGTTTAATGTTGCATTCAAGATTATTACACACATACGTATGTGTGTGCGTGCATATGTGCACGAGCATGCTCTTATGTCGATTTCATAGCGCTAGCTCACTTAGATACCATGCCGAAGTTTAACAAGAGTATCCTACTCAGACACACTATACTGACTCCCAGCAGACCAGTCCCTTAATAATGCCGAGCGCCAGACAGGGTAAGAACAAGTACCATCTTTTAATGTCTTTTGGTATGACGCGGCCCGAGGATTGAACCCCCGCCCTTCCGCTCTCTGGCCAGACGTTCTACCTCTAGACCATGTAGGCGGTCAAAGGCAAGATGAGAAACAAGCGAAATGGCGTCCACAATCATGACATAACTAGGTTACTGCTAACGGCGTCATAACACAACCAACAAAAAACCTGTCAAATGACTATTTTCTAAGTCCAAGAAAAAGACTACCAAGATAAGCATGATAAGTGGTATCTAAGACTGAAGTTTCCAAAGGTAGAACCCATCAGGAGAACTAAGCTGTGATTAGTACTGCAGATAAATGCAGCATTGTGACAAGAGTGACAGATAGTCTACGTGACCCAGTCCATGCAGTCGACCGCCATTAACATGTCTACACGCTGACACAAGGGTGGGACATATTCTTCTCCGCCATTTGACACACGCTTCTCAACTACCTGCCACACAGGGATAGGCCCACGCTTCATCATGGAGAATGAGAATCAGGATGACACACTATGTAACTGTTACCGCTTGTCTAGGTGTTAAAACAAAACACATGCCCAACAGAACATATAATGCAATAAATGTATACATAATGCATAGCAATTAAGATATAAAGATAATTTAAATTTTAATATATACACTCACAAAACAGATATAAGACATTATACATAAAATAACATATGACTTAACAAAAGCAACAACAACGTCACAATGGTGGAATCTACCTGGTGGGCATAATTTTGCATTTCTATCTCAGCTCATAGACGAGTCTAGGGTTCAAAATACTACGGTGAAATGATTAGTTTTGAAAGATAAAATATCTGCACTGGTATGAAAATATTGATGCCTTGGAGATACTTAACGACGACTAAAATACCACACTTGATCTATCATATCAAAAGTTGTGATGACTGATGAACATATACAGTGCATTTTCATTCTCAAACACTCGGTTCTCGGCAAATTGGCAGTTCAGAAGTTTCAAACTGCAACATAATTGTCTGATGACTCAAACTGTGTGATGTATGTCCATCTTGTAAACTGTGAGCTTTCACTGAAGAAACATTGTCTCAGTCAACAAGACCTGTAGTACACATCTCTATATTGTGGAGCACAGTTCCTCTTTAACAGTATTGTGAAGCAGGTACAAGTCTTTGTCCTGATATCCATGGATCTAGTACACCGTGATCATCAACAGATAATACACAAACCGTTATCTGTGTTAAACGCCTCAGCCAAAAGACTGATGTCTCACTGATGCTAAAGTCACAGACAGATACATACATTAATATATTTTTATATGATCAAATCTGGCGTCCTCTTTTTTCAATTGGACTATGAATACAGTGTTTGAAACTTATTTAAAGGGGGGTTTCTTGAGATTGCTGTAGTATTTGGATCTAATTACACCTAAACTGTTTACTTCTAATATTAGAGTTTTGACTATGGCCCCTTGAGTTTCATACTCCGGATTTTGTATTAATCTTAACTTTCAAGAGTCCGCAGAAATGATCTGCTACAGAGTTGGGTAGTCCACAGGGAAATATCATTCGTCTTTCCTGAATTTTACCAGTCTCAAGACTAGTGCAATATTATTTTTGAATCATGATGCATTATTTTGAACACTGAATACTACACTGTTTATCTTGTAGAAATATCACCATCTTCCAACTAGGGGTCCCATTCCACAAAGCAATCTAAGTGCTATGGTGATCATAACTCCCATACTGTAACATAGGCTTACGACAGTCGTAGCGCTACAGTCGCTTTGTGGAACGAGACCCAGGATCACATAATGTAACACTGGTACAATTTGAGACCGGATCTAGCGTCCCCAACACATCATTTACCTACAGGAGACTGTCAAGTCCCTGCAAGGAACACACCTGGTGTAATTAGCTGTAAGGTAATACCCTGCACGGCTAGTTTAGTCAGTTGAGAAACATGGGCTAAGTAAGAATGTGTGTCTTTATTTGTGCCAGTGAGAGGGGGAATCCTGTCAAAGTGTCCTTGTCAGGCCTGTCTTTGTTGTCCACAAAACTTCCTTGTGTAATAAGGGCCATTGTTCAAGTTTGTTTCCAGCTACACCCACTTTTGATGGCAATTTATTGTGAACGCAAGGTGAAGGTTAGTGATCTGTCAACTGGATTCAAGTTGATACAAACTGTCGTACACACCTTGATTTTCAACTGAAGCATGTTGAATATATTAACTCTTAGGTTGGGTGTCTTCATTAAATTAATTAAAATTAAAAGCATCAAAGCCAAGCTCTATTGGGTACTGGGATTTATTTTGTTCAATATGCTCAGTTCATGATAACATCCAACTATTTTAGTTGATTGCTTATAATATCAAAAATATTTCCATATTTTATAATACTTCAGGAAGATTAATAAAAATGTGGTATCAAATCAACAGGATCTTGCCAATGGCCGCAAACAATATTTTAAATATTTAAGAGTACTTCTTACTCAAACAAGTACAGGAGACAATTTCAAATACTGATATATTTTTTGTATATTTCTGATTGCCCGACTGTGACACACTGAGATATCTTGTCTGCACATGTCACAATGCCTGGACTGCCTGTCTGAAGAACATTACAAGGCCATAATAGTGGTGTGGACTTCTAACTAAACATTGCAATACAGTAGCTTTCAAGGAGTGAGTGAGTATGGTTTTATGCCGCTTTTATCAATATTCCAGCAATATCACTGCGGGGGACACCAGAAATGTGCTTCACACATTGTACCCATTTTGGGAATCAAACTTGGGTCTTCCGCGTACACTTTAACCACTAGGCTACCCGACCGCCTCAGCTTTCAAGTAAAGACGATCTGACTCACAACACTACGAATATGCCAGCATATGCTAATTGGAAAGAACTTACGCCTGCATTAAAGTGAACATAATTACAATCATATTGATGCACAAGGATGTAACTAGCCTCTTAAATTCAGATGTTACAGTCTTTTAACTTGTGGCCTTCCATACAAAGAGTGGGTTCTAGAACTTGTCTATCCAAGAATCTCCCCCCCCCCCCCCCCCCCGATGCTGAGATGGTATGCAAGGAATAGAAGTAAAGAGCTCCTGGAATGAGAGTCAGTGTCAATGAAAGAGTCTTACACAATTTGGCAATAAACTGATTATTAGATTTTGATACCTGCTCCCCTCACAACCAAACATCTCCTTGATCCTTTATCAGATTGTTTGAAAGCAATAAAATTTGAAAATTATTAATAAAGTGCTTTCCACCCACAATATTTCGACGAAGTTGGATGACTTCAACTAATTTATTATTGGGGCCTAAGCTGTAGTCCACATCACAGATGCAAAAGTCTGGAGCAGATGAACCGGTGGTCGATAGTGTGAGCAACAATCTGGGTACAAAGGCACACAAATCATCTGGTCAAGGCTGAAGGTTACTATTTCCTCGTGGTCATATTCAGCAGCCATTGTGACCACATAATGCCCAGTACAGTGGAGTTTAAAACATTACTTGTACAGGTATATTGAGCTATAACTGAAGGGGTAATGTCATCAATGACTTTTGAACTGTACTCACCATGACAAAAACACATCAGAGAAAGTTTCCACGCATGAGAACAGAGCAAATACAATCCAGTACATCATCCATTTCACCTGAAAAACAAAAAAAACGTGATAATGACTATGTTTGGTTTAACATCGCTTTGAACAATTATAACATGACCTATGAGGATTGTGTAGGCGGTGACCAAGAGAGACTGAGGTAGCAGACATTACATCTTCAAGTTATGGTACAGAAAAACCAAGGATTATTATGATTACCGGTACAATCACAAAGAATCTGGGATTTGAACCGGCTCCATCCTCAGAGTTTGTCATGACCCCAATGGTAAAAGTTGAGACTTGAAACATCAATCGACACTTGACCGTTGAACCATGTCTTGCCAATGAATGTCTTGTTGGTTCATTGTAATAGTTAACAAGATGCAAACAGTACAAAGTGGTTAATTAGGACTTTTGCATCACACAATTGCTTCTTAACATAATGTGATTGAAAGTTCATGTGTTACAGCACAGTCAGCAATCTTATAGCTTGATACTAACAGTCAAAAAAGAAAAGAATCTTAGGCATAGCATGAACAGCAATCCAAAATCAGTATAGTAAAGTAAAGCCTAAATACAATATTTCACAGGAATTGTCCAGCTATCAAGAACATTTGTCAAAAGACAGTTCCATGCTTTCACAATCACAAGGTTCATACAGATATGGAACACTAAAATTCAAGGCCTTTTCAAGCCTGCTAACTGTTTTCTTCAAGACTTTTTTGGTTGCGTTAACCTTAATCTGTCAATATTTTATTAAATACAGCAATGTTTGCGTTTACGGCATTCCATATACAAAAATATGCACTGAAAAAAAACTGGGAGGCAAGAAAAGAAACCTACACAAGTCCGCTTATGTGTTTTTCATTTTGAAAACAAGTTTACTTTACGCATAACTTATAGTTGTTTTGTTTATAGTTTCTCTTGCCTCCCAAAATCCATGTGATTTAACATTTCAGGTCTACATTTGAAAAATGACATTATTTTGGAGACCAATGCCAACACTGATACAGCATACTATATATTATAACAGATGCTATATTTGGGAGAACACTTCGGGAATCAACCCCAAAAAAGTAAGAGAATCTGTACTTTACTAAGAAAGTGTTATCCAAAATATAGCATCTGTTACATTTGACCACTTTCTAAATGGCATTGTTTATTCATAGCTTTCGGCCATGGGAGCCGTGCCAATTTACACTTGTCAGAGGGGTACTCAAAGTACGTGATCTAGACTACCAGTTGTCGGACATTCATTTTTGTGGAAGCCTTGGTGGCTGAGTGGGTTAGATTGCTGACTTTGTGTGCTGGCGATTAGGTGCCTCACTCTGGCAAGTGTGGGTTCGAATCCCGGACGGGACTCAACCCCCAAAAAAGTACGAGAATGTGTACTTTACTAAGAAAGTGTTATCCCAAATATAACATCTGTTACATTTGACCACTTTCTAAATGGCATTGTGTATTCATACTATATATTAGTTGTAAGACCTAAAAAGCAGTATAACCATCTCACATTTTCCAACAAAATTTATTTTTCACCCAACAAAGAAATAAGTTAAGTCTGTCATGAATTCTTCAGGGTCTTTGGCACAAATCTATCACTGTGATGAATCTCACTAAAACACTTTTGCTAAATAATTTTGTGTGCTTTAATACTTTGATTAACAAGTATGTCATTTTGTACAAATTCTAGGCTTTTCAAGCTAGTTTGGTGATTAAAGGCTTTTTAAGGTTGACACTAAAAAGCAAGACTTTTCAAGAGGGACCTTAAAATTCAAGGCTTTTAAAGAGATACCTCAAAATTCAAGGCTTTTTCCAGCCTGTACAAACCCTGTATCATGCACTAGTTTACCAGGTTTGAAGTTTTCAGTATATAAAGGCCTCAATGAAGCAGCTGTGGCATTGATGCATAGGGCATAAAAATCATTAACTGACACTCAAGGCATTGTTAAAGATGCTTTTACACCCCACTAGCTGTCAACATGGTTATCTGACAAGAATCACAGACAAGTTGAATGAGAAGAACCAGGAAAGAAATCATGAATTCCAGCGAACCCAAGCATAAATCACTCTGTCTGAGGGCCTCCTGAAGACAAATTTGACAATTGTATTGGACAATTACAGGGGAAAGATTTGGGACAGTTCTTACTATGAATTCTGTGCTGATAACCCCAACTACATAGGTCTGTCTGTATGCCATAACTGCATTTGTCTTGTGTCCTCAGACACTATTACTGGTGAGAATGTCAACAAAGACGTCTCCAGGAATAAAGGATGGTATTGGAACTTCTTTCCAGCCTTATGGACAGAGAGAATAGTGCTGTACAATGTGTCCAACATACTTAGAAATGATTGCAATAGACGTCTTACTGAAGCAATGCAAGAACCTTTTCATACACTTCTCTTTTCTGATACCTTCTGTCGCTAGGCACTGTAGCTCACCTGGATATGCCACATACTGTAGCTCACCTGCCATGGCACGGCACCACATCTCATCTGGTATTACCGTGTAGCTATGACCCACAAAAGACTTTTGTAGCTTTGACCCACAATAGATTTGTGTTGCTATGACCTACTTGTGTATTCACACCTACATTTTATTCTGCACCTGCATATGTGCCTCAAAGCATTATTTAAAATAGGAACTGTAACATTCAATGCCATAACAGAATCATAAAACAGACACGATATATCAAAAATTGAACCTAGCTTTTCGGACAAAAATTAAATATAAGGACACAACAAAAATATGTTCCAAGTTTAATTATTTCCCAATGTAGTAAAACAAAGGTTTGTACTGTTCCTTGATATTTACTTCTAATAGGTTTTATTCTAAAACATGAAACTTAATACATAGATGTTTGATATAGTCGACCTGGAGATCTTGAGGTAGTGGCTGCTGTATCTTCATAAAGATATATCTGTAAACATCAGGCTTAATAAAAGGCCCTTCGACTTTCTTTCAGAAACACTGTTATTCATATCCACTGAAACACAATCTTGTTATGCATAATGGTATACTTTGTCCTCCTAAAATAACAGCTTGTCAGTTTTATGGTAGGCAGAACGCAAATCTTTTCAAATCGTCCCAAGCATCTTTCACCACCTGCACTGATGTGAAAGAGCTCAATCGACAAAGTCATAAAATCTCAGCTACATTGTTGGGCTTCTGCCGAAAACTTTCATTTCAAAATTATTTCCATTTTCTTATCGCTCCAACTGCACACCTGCACAACTGGGAGGAGATTACAGCACAATCCCTTATCATGTTCCAGACATACCCCTGGCCCCGATACAACTTTAGATCACATCAAGTCTCACTTAAATGTTGCAGCAGCTCTTTGAAGATTGAAATATATGATGTCCTATCCCCAACCCTGTGAAATCTTTTCATCTAATGTTAATGGTGAAAGTTGGGATTGTGCATAATAAGTGTGAGTACATAGGTTACATGCACTTGTTACACTCCGACAAGACAGAAAGGTTCGAGATGATGTGTCAGCCCAGCATGGCAACACCCACACTGTCTCTAAGTAGAACATATTAAAACCTGACTGTAAAGTTAAACTGAAAATGTTTCCAATGTGTCTTTTTCTACCATGTATTTTACAGAGGCAATTCAATACAGATTTTGGTTCAAGAACAGTTCTCAGTACCACCGATATCATACCTCGGTGACTGATATTGGCTTCATGTCAGTAAGTATAAAACGACGGAGAGGAAACATTCTTATCAGATCCAGTCAAATCCAAAAGAAGTGTATCAAAACATGTGAGGTGAAATTTACTCATTGTTCTATATATTAATATACAGCAATTATTGACATTTTATAAAGCATAAATAACAGAGGACTTTAAGAATCTTAAACTGATATTACAAAATATCACAAAATGTTACCATTGAACATGAAACAAATGATGAGACAACCCCTATCGACCCATCATTATTGTTACAAAGAGTGTAGATTGTCAATACCACCAACATAGGTAGCTGGGGACCTATTCTAAGCCAGATTCCCCATAGGGTAAATAGACATTAGATACGGTAGTGGCACTCTCAAATGATGAGAAGCAGTCAGTGCAACAACATGTAGGCAACTCCACCTAATTTTCATATGATCTCCACAAAATGATCATATGATCCCCAGCACCTGCCACCAACATGAAGCCCTCTGGCAAACTCAATGAAAAGTTCATGCATCGTTATCCACCAGCAATAATGCCACTCACACCACCACTTATGCTCATTGTAAAACAATATTGCCTTTCGTGGAAATTTTAGAATATGAGACTTGATTAAACATTTTCCCGAAAGAGTGAGTGAGCATGGTTTTACGCCGCTTTTAACAATATTCCAGCAATATCATGGTGGGGGACACCAAAAATAGGCTTCAAGACATTGTACCCATGTGGGAAATAGAACCCGTGTTGGCGGCGTGGTGAGCAAACACTTTAACCAATAGGCTATCTCACTGCCCTTTTTTCCCAATGTGCAGGTCTCTGCCATTTGTCAAGCATTACTCCAGCTGGCGTTCGAAGTGGTGTAAATAGGAACACTCATTATAACCCATAAAGGTCTCCGGATCACAAGCAACAATTCATGGTACTATTTGGGTCATGGCCAAAAGAATCAATGCATTAGTGATAAATAGTAACTGAGCTGGGAGTACATTGCTTCATTCGGAAGTCCAACAAAAGTCTACTTACCTGTCATTCATTCTGCCTTATTGTTCAAATACTATACAGGACTGTTTTTTATTTAAATCAAGATAGCTGTTTGAGTCATTTCGAACATAAAATTTACATATTACATATCTATTTCAAAATGCATACCTTTTCTTATTACATCAAACATGAGCATTTTTAATTAAAAATGTGACCACATTCAATCAACCCAGATCTATCATTTCTATAACAAAATCGCCACATTGATATATTGGCTCAAGGCATTAAGAACTATTTTTGTTGAAATTATCAATGAACCATGTAAATACAGGACATATATATAAAGATATCAAATAATTCATTCCAAAACATCAGTGAATTAAAATA